TCTAATTATTATTGTCTTATTTTTTAATAAAAATTTAAAGCCTTATCTAATTTTGGTTTTTTTAAAAATATTTTCATCATTCTTCTTCATATAAAAGAAATATATCATGAAGAATATGAATATTTTATTTAAATAAGAAGGTAATAATATATCAATATTTTGTACTATATTAATCAGATTCTGATGAAGAAGTACTTAATGATGTATTTAAATATTAATTATATATATTTTTAAAATGCAAATATTTTTATAATTTTAAATAAACACATAATTAATTAATTAAAAAATAATTTATTTTTTAAATAAATAAATAAATAATTTTTTTAAAAAAAAAAATTAATTTAACATTAAAGATAATTTTTTTAGATATTAGTGAAACATAATATATAACTTATCTAAAAAAAAAATTAATATTTTTATATTAAAACAAAAAATATAATTATTAAATTACATAGGCATATTTTTAAAATTTTCCTTTAATAACTTCATTTAATATGTAGATGAAAATTTTATTTGTTTATTTTATTTCTTTATTGAAGATTTTTTTTAAGTATTTTATAATAATTAAATTAAAGAAGACTGCATTCAGATTTAATTATTTTTACATGTAGGATATTATTCGAAAAGCGAAAAAAATAAAAAAAAATAAAAATAATTCTCATCAAAAATTATTGTAATTCAATATAAAAATAACATTTTTAATTTATTTATACCCATATATATTTTTAAATATCATTTTTAATTTATATTTATATAATACTAATTTAATTATTATAAATTAAGATATAAATATATATAATATAATAAATAAAAATATATTTATAAATATATAAATATATTTTTATATTTTATATTTTATATTTTATATTTTATATTTTCTTTTAATATATACAATGTTCTTTATTCATATTAAAATCAATTTATATTTTTCTAATAATATAATTTATCTATCTATTTATTATAATTTTTAAGAATATTCATATTATTCTTAATTATTTTGAATATTAATTTATTATTGTTTATAATTTTAATTATATCAACCTTTAAGAAAATTTGTTTATAGTCCCATACTTTCTAGGTCTCTTTAAATTTTTTGGCTTTTTAGACAGTATAAGAAATACAAATAATTTAAAATGCCTAAATATGCTGTAAAGATAATACTTCTGGCATACTAAAAATTAAAAATAATAAATTATTAACATATAATAATATATAATATTTATATAAATAAATAATGTAAAATTATATTATTTAATTTAAATAAATAATTTAAATAATTTGATGTTTGTATTTAAAATATGTTTTATGTAAAAAAGTTGAAAATTATATAATTATTTTGCTAAATGTAAAATTTTTATTTGTTCATGTATTAATTAATTGATTATTAAAAATAAATTTTACTTTAAAAATTTATATAATAAAAATATATTATAAAAAAAAAAAAAAAACACACTAAATATTAAATTAAAAAATAAATGAATTAAATATGTTTAACTCACAAAAAAGAAATATAATATATATGTTTATGCAAATAAAATTAATGTAAAACTAGAATTTTATGTGTTTCATGTGTCTAAAATCATCCTAATAATGAAAAAAATACATATATTAGCTAAAAGATATCCTTGAGAATGATTTTTCGATAGATTTTTTGAAAATATACTACTCAGAGTAAGAAATAAAGTCTTTTTATGTCCCTTTTTAGATAAATTTAATATAAATTACTGCTTTATTTAATATAAAATAAGAATAATAATCATATATAATACCAACGATAAAAATGTTTGAAAATAAAGTATAAAAAATCAATTTAAAAATTGAAAATATATACTAATATTTCTAAGAAAAAATCGATTTTACTAAAAAAATAATCCCCTATATTTAAAAATTTATAGAATAAAAAAATGTTTCTTAAAACGAGCTAAAAAATTGCATTTAGGAGCTTATTTTATATTTAGATTTATTCCAAAATATAATTTTTAAAGTAAAAAACTTCAAAAAATTTGCTTTTAATTAATAAGAAAACCATTTTTAAATAATAAGAGCTTAAAAAAGGGAAATATAAATATATACAAACAACCTAAATTATTATTTCGAGAAAAATTAAATATAATAATAACCTAAAAAGGCTTTTTTATATATTAAATTTCCACCTATAGAACTTAATTTATAGAATATTTTCAGTCATATACAAAATGGAGATATATTGAAAATTAAAAGTTTTTTTTAAGAATTAAAAAATGAAGAAGGTTTATTAATTTTACACGAAAATTTTTAGTGCGATTTTATTTTATTTTCTTACAATTTTTTTTAGTTGAAAAGGAGTTTTTTTACTAGTAGTTTTTTTAACGGAAAAATTAAGGATTTTTGTGGCTTTTTTTTGGATGAAAATAAATTTATAGCCTGCTTTTTATTAGAAAAAAATTAAGTTTTTTTAATCGAAATTGATTTTTTAGAAAAAAAAGAAAAAATTTTGTAAAAATTTCAAATAAAAGAAAAAGAAGATGAAATTGAGGAAATAAATTTCATTTAAAAAAATAAAATAAAAGGAGATGATAAAAATTTCATTATTTTATTAAAAAAATCTAAAAAAATTATCTTTTTAAATATATTAGAATAAAAAATATTGAAAGAAATATAGACAAACCCAAAGCTTTAATAAATAAAAATCGAAAATGAAAAGATTCTTTTTTTTAATAATATAGAAATAGATTTTTAACATATAGAAAATTAGAAATTGTTATAATAACATGATATTATACTGTGTACTTTCTAATAAATAAATGATTAGTAATAGTATTTTGCTTATTCAGGTAATAATGCTATTTATTATCTAAAAAATAAAAAAACTATGAAACTTGAACTTAAAAATAACTTCCCAATAATAGGTATTTAATATAGTTATAATGGAGAATATTTAATAGTACTGTTTTAAAATGGGTTAATTGCCTTTTTTGATGTAAATGATAATTATGAAATTGCTTTTGAATATAATTAAAATTGTAATAAAATTCTAAATTTTGTTTATTTTAATTATTAGAATTTTATATTTATAGTGGATTCAGATAATATTTTACATGGATGTTAATTTTGAAAAAAATATTAGTTATTGAACATAGATTAAATATTTCAATAAATATAAATATGAATATAAATATAAATATATATATATATTAATATATAAAAATTTAATTTTATTTTATAATTTAACTTATTCATTTTATTTTTGTATTTATAAGATTAATAACTTTTTTCACATAATAAAGATTTATAAATTATTAAGTTACAGAAAAAATGTTTTTATATTATATTAATATATTAATTATATAATCTATATAAATTTTAAATTTATATTATGTTATTATTATTATTTTTTCTATACAATACATATTTTTTATAATTATCAAATTAAAGTAAAATTATATTTTAAGTATATCTATACGTCTTTTACTAATAAGATAATAATTATGTTTATTACTGTCAGGATTTTTATATTTATTTTTCATTTCTATACTTTTCATTATATTGTTTGCATTTCTAAAATATCTTAAAATTTCTTTTATTATTGTATTTAAATAATGTGCTCATTATAATTTTTTATTTGTATTATTTTTGTTTTTATTTTAAACTTTTTTTTGCGATAATTATATTTTTTAAATAATAAATAAATCATTATTTCTGATAAATGAATTATTATTTATTTTATTAAAATAAATAGTTAGAAATTTATTTACAATATCATATAAGAAAAGTATTATTTTTTGTTTTCTTATTTTAATTTCTATCTTATTAGTTTATAAAAGTTTATCTTTTTCATTATTTCCTAAATTTGTAAATAACAGAGATATTATTTATTTGTTTTTTGATATATTTTATTTAATTTCATAAATTAATACTAAAAAAGGTTAAATAATAAATTCAGCACAAATTTTATAAAAAAGTTCAATTAAATTAATATTTTCTAATTTATTTTCCATTATTAAGTTCAAAAAATATAATTTTTGTTAAGTTTTCAATTGTCCGAATACTTTTATTTAAAGAACAAAAATGGAAAATTATTAATACTCGATTTTTATATTTTTTTGATGAAATTATACCATCTCTAATAATTAATATTTTTATTGTATTTTTGAAAAAAAAAAAAAGTATTTTTTATAATAATATTTTTCTTATAAATAAATATAAACGCTTAAATAAATTTATGTTTACTATGCCTAAGATTTATTTTAGAAATATAATTATGAACAAATAACCTACTATTTTATCCATTATCTTGTATTTCTTTAATATGTAAGTAAAATCTTTATATAATTGATTCTCTTTTTTATTGAAGACAAAGAACATAATATTGGATAGAATTAGCCTTTTACAGATTTAACATAGTAAAAAAATCCTAAGTAAGGAATTAAAATAATAGAAAATATGATATCAAAATTAACAAAGAAAATAAAAATTATGTTTATTATAATTGTATATATATATATATATATATATATATATATATATATATATATATATTTATTTGTTTTTATATATATATTTATAAGTATTATTATTTATATATAAATATTAGTATTAATTTTTATACTTTTTATTTAATATTAACTATTATTTTCATTTTTTATTTAATAATTCATAAGTCTTATTTCCTTTAAAAATAAAAAAGTTCTAATTATTTAGTTTATCTATAAAAAGACTAAAATCTCCGACATTCATATTCATTCCCTTTGCTATTTAAATTAATTCATTATAATTAAAAGAATGATTTCCTTTAATAATAGCTTCCTACTCAACTCTTTCTTAAAAAATTTTAGTTTATTTATTTATTCCTAATTAAGAAATATCATTCAAATTAACTCCTTTTCCCAAAAAAGATCTTCCCATAGAATTTTAAGTATTAATATTTAAATCTTCTAGACAATCAAACAAACTTTCTTACATTAATTATATAATATCCTATTTATTTACATTATAATAATATTAATTTTTTTTATTAATACCAAAGCATCCTCTTTAGTAACTACATCTCTACATTCAACTTTTGCACGAGCCTAAGATAATCTAATTAAAGATTCTAATTGTCTATTTGTTATTGGAATTTATGAATTTTCAGTATATTATTCTCTTAAGGCTAAATAAAAATCTTTTATAGTTTCTGCAGCTTAAATACTTAATCTTTATAAATTTATAGATATTATGAAATATTTATTATTTATATGGGAAAATTATATTATTAATGCTACTTTGGGTTGCATATTTTTTAATATAAGTAAGGTATTTTTTAATTGCTTAAGGTGGTAGAATATCATTGATTTCAGAACATTTTTTTTATAATTTTTCAGTAAAAGAAGAATATTAAACATCTTAGATATAATCCTTAATTTTGAACTCATAAACATTAAAAGAAATAGATGATTCTTCAGCTTAAAAATTTTCTGTTTTGATTCTTTTTCTAGAATGTAACTATTAATAATTAGTAATAAATATGCATAAAAGTATAAATATATATATATATATATATATATATATATATATATATATATATATATATAAATATATATAATTATAATATTTAAAATATTTCATATTTTTAAAATATATTTACTTTCATAACGTGTTCAGATAATTTCTAGTCCCTTAATGGATCACATTTGTCTAATAATAGAAAAATAAGATCAAATCTAGATAAAATTGCGTTACTAATTTTAATATTATCCTTAACATTTTTCTATTTACTATATAGAAATAACAATTATATATAAATATATAAATATATAAATATATAAATATATAAATATATAAATATATAAAAATATTTTATTAATAATATATTTATATTTATTATTATATTTATATTATTATTATTATATTTTTTGTTAATATAATTTTATATTTATATCTTTTTATTTATATTAACTTATAATGTCCATCTTTCGGATTAGCTGCTGCAATAATAGAACATCTAGCTTACAAACTACATAAAATTCCACTTTTTGCTAAAGAAACAGATTATTATTCCATAGCCTCTAATAAAATATAATGCTCTGACTACATTTTATCAAACTCATCAATACAACACACTCCTTAATCACTTAAAATAAGAGCCCCAGCTTCCAAAGTACTTTCCCCAGTAATCTAATCTTTACAAATACTTACTGTAAGTCCTGCATTTGAAGAACTACTTGCTGAAGTATATATCGATCTCTATGAAATATTAGCTATAAACTTCAATAATTAAGATTTTCCTAGTCCCGGATCTCCTATAAGTAGCACATGACAATCAGTTCTAAAATTAAGTTAATTTTTATCATTTTCTTTGTAAAAATTACTCTTTTAAGAATCTTATGAACCTCCCAAAATAGCCAAAAGAAGGCCTGCTTTAATTAACTCATGTCCGAAAATTGTTGGACATAAAGATTTAATTAAAATATAAAAAATTAAAGGATTATTAGATAAATTTTAAACTAAATTAATACATTCTTCGTCTTCTTCTTACTCTTATTATTTTTATTATGTATTTTAAAATTTTTTTTTCTAAAAAGAGGATGAATCTTCATTAATTAAAGAATTCACGTATAAAATATTAGACTAAATTCCTTACATTTTTTTATTATTCCCTGAATTATCTACTACTTCAGTTTTCAAAAATCCATTTAAAATAACCACTTCTCCATTATTGATTTAACCGGCTAAATTTTCGCCTAATTCACAGTCTAGATTTCTCGGAATTTTTCCACTTCCTTTATCTTCTTGTTATATTTCTTATATTTTTATTCTTTAAAAAAAAGAGGAATTCGCAAAAGTTTTATCTGGGTTAAATTTATTACTTTTGCAATTCTTTTTTTCACATTTTTGTGGATTTTAATAAATTCCATATTAAAATTTTTACTAAAAACTACTTTTGCAGTCTAAACATGTAAAATTTATACTTTTTATATAAATTTATATAGGAGAACTCTTCAATACTAACCCTTTAATTGATATAAATTCATTAATTTAATTCGCATTTATATCTTCTAAAGAAATTACAGGTAAAACATTATATAAACGACATATTATTAATTTTTTATGAAAATCTTTAATTGTTTATATTATTAAATTTCTTATTATATGTAGTGACAAATTCAAAATATTCAAAAGTTATTAAATATGTATCTTTTCTAATTAAATTAATTAAACATGTGGATTTTGAATAAATTTCTGATAATCTAAATGAACTTCAGTATAAGATTTATTCTTTATATGATGCCAGTCAAATATTAATTAAAACTCACGGTCACTTTTGAAAATCTCATATATTTTTTAAATTGATATGTGTATAGGATTTTCATGCTTTTAATATAAATAATTAAAATAAATATAAATACATATATATATATATATATATATATATATATATATATATATATATATATATATATATATATATATATATATATATATATACTTTAAATTAATCTATATTATCATTAAAATATTCTTCATAGTATTGTACCATTTATAATTTAAATTATTAATTATCATTATCATAATTTGTTTGCATATTTTTATTAAATATTTAATATATAAAAATTTCTTAAGAAATAATTATAAATTTAGTATATATAGTATCAAATTTTACAAATATTTTTTTTTTTTAAATATAAACTATAAACATTTAGATACAAAAAATAAATCATATATATATATATATAATATTTAATTATATATATATTTATTATTCAAAAAATAATTTCATCACTTCTTTGAGTAAGTACTTCGTATCCACTATCAGTAACTAAAACAGTATGTTCCCATTAAGCTGATGGATTAAAAGGCGAAACTACAGTAAATTAATCTTCCCAAATAAAGCAATCTTAAAACTACATAGTAAAAATAGGTTCTATAGTAAAAACCATCCCTTCTTCCATTACATAGGGACTTTCCATTTACGTTTTTTTACAATGATAAATAACAGGTGGTAAATGTAATAAGTGCCCGATTCCATGTCCTGAAAATAATTCTTAAGTAAAAAATTTATTTTTATTAGCTATATTTTAACAAATGCTTCCTATTTATCTAAATTTATTACCTGGTTAACATATTTTTATACTTTCATATAGAGCTTATTGAGTAGTTTTTATTAGTTTCTAAATTTCTGGGTGAACTTTTTCCCCTATTTATATCATTATGGAGGTATCGCCATGTACTCCATTTAAATATAAAGAAATATCCAAATTTAAATAATCACCATTTTCTAAAGGTCTTTAATCAGGAATTCCATGACATAAAACTTCATTGACACTCGTACATATAGTTTTAGGGTAATTATTAAATCCTAAGCATGTGGGATATGCGCCGTTTTTAATTATGAATTCGTGGCAAATTTTATCGATATCATCAGTTGTTATTCCCTCTTTAATTTATTTTTGTATATATTTTAACGCATCACTTGCTAGTTTACCTGCTTTTCTTAAACCTTTTTTAATAATAGATAAATAATTCCTACATATAAGTTTTTTTAAAATAATATATATTAAAATAAATTCATTTTTATACATAAATAATAAAAATTAATAATATTTTTTCATTTATTTTTAAACCATTAAGACATTTTTTTTAATAGAAAATTATATATTTTATTATATGTATATTTACGATTTATTGTTTCCTTATCGTGCTTTACAGGTGGTCCAGAATATAATCCATATATGGGATTTAGTTAATCTTTATTTATTTTGGAAAATTAAAATATATTTTAAATACTTAAGTATTCAGGTCTTGAGATATTCTATGGAATTTTTAATTTTGGAGTTTGAGGATATTCATTCTTTTTTTTTTTTTAATTACTATTTTTTTACTTATTTTATTAAAAAATACTTATAATATGGGTTTCGTTTGATAATATGGTGGTATTTTATATTATGAATAATCAATATTAGTATTTTATTTTAATAATATTGGAGCTTTTTTGATTGTTTTTAACATTAATTTTTTTATTCTACTTTTTAATATTAAATTAATTAAAATCAAAAATCTTTTTTTATTTATGTTTTGATAAATTTATATTTATTAAATTCACATTAACTAAAGATAACAAGAAACATTAATAATTTATTTTATATATTTTTTAAATAAAATATTATAATTAAAAAAAATAATGAAAATCAATATATTATAAAAGTACTATTATTTATTTTATATATTTAGTATTTATTTTTGTATAAAGAAAATTCTAGATTTATACTTATATTTTAAAATTTTTTTAAAAGATTTTTTTAATAAAAATTCTAATTTTTTGGTATTTTTTTAAATAAAAAATAAATATTACAAAACAAACAAAACAAAATTATTCCAAAAAATAAAACATATATATAATAAAAATATAATTTTTATATAATATTCTTAAATTATAAATAAAAACTTAAGAAATAAGTTTCTATAACATTAAGTAAATAAATATATATATTTAAATATACAAATATATTTATATTTTTATAATTTAAATATTTATAAGTAAAATAGAAATTAAAAAATAAAACTATATATATTTAATACAAAAATGGATACCAACAAAATATAATAAGTAAACTTACCATATAAATCAAATTATATTTTATATATAAAATTCCAGACTATCGATAAACACAAACCATTACTAGAAGATCAAAAATTTTATGAATTTTCTTAAAAAATAAAATCACTTTCATTACGGTAATATAAAATATTTTTAATTTAAAAAATTAATAAAAAAAAGATAATAATAAATGAAAAAAACGCAAGAAGCAATATATTTGCTTATTGAAGGGATTAAGAATTTATTAAACTTTAAAGACGTTCAAGAATCATATGATTTAATATAAAATATTTTTGATTTAGTTAAGGATAATCGAGAATTTATAAATGAAAATCTTAAAAGTAAATAAATTAGTTTCAATTTTTTTTATTATTTTAAAGGTCATTTATTATCTATTTATTCTATGTTTCCTTAAAATTAACAAAAAATATAATTGGCTAATAAATTATTAAAAGAGTAAAATAAATATATATATATATATTAAAAATTTATTTTATAAAAAAAGATTATTTATTGGAGATTTAGAAATATGTAAAGTTGTAGGAATCGATTTATTTAATAATGGACTTTATCATTTGGCATAAAAATATATTATTTTTTTAGATGATATAGATTTTTCAATTAATTTGTTAACTAAATGGATTTAAAAATTAAATAAAAACGAAAATGATGTTGAAATTGAATTTTTAGTCTGCAGATATATTTTTTTGTATCTTTTTGTTTATATTTTTATTTTATATATAACATGAATTTAAAAATATTAAGGAAATTAGTTAATAAAAAAGTAGAAGAAGCTTTTAAAATTTACTTTAAATTTGAAAATGACACTCCTTTATTTAATTTTACATGTGAATAAAATATATAAATAAATATATATATATAGATTAATTAATATATATTAATAATTTATTAATTTATAATTTATATATTAATTTAAATAAGAATATTTGATAAGAGCATGCAAACTAAGAAGTAGAAAAGCATATATTAAATTAAATAATAAATATGAACCAATCATAAAAAAAGATAAATCATTTTAAAAAGTAAATATTTTAAATAACTTAAATATATATATATATTTTTTTTAATAAATATTATATAGATATTATCGAAAATAGCTACTATTTATTTCTCATTTGAAGAATAAGGGGACACTAGTGGATTTAATTAGGTTTTATCTAGTTTATTGAAATGATAGCATTATATTTTTTTTATATAAAAAAAATTATAAAAAATAAAAATAATATTTAAAGTTTTCTAATAATAAGAATTCTTTATTTATTATTAAAATTTATTAATTATAAATTAATTATTTATAAATAATATATATTTTATTTAATTAAAAAGAAAAATATTATAAAAATATAAATTATATATATAAAATATTATTTTATATATATATATCTTAAACATATTTATATTTTATATATTATATCTTAATTTTTTAAAAATAAACTTTATAAATTTTAAATCAATAGCAAATATAATAAATTTTAAATATTAATAAATTGTAATTAAAATATTATCTTTAACATATATAGTTAATAATATTAAAATTAAATAGTAATAAAATATTAATATTTAGAAAATTAATATAATAAAAATAAAAATAAAAAATATTTAAAATAAAAATAAAATAAAGGATAAAAATATAAAATAATATAAATTTATATATATATATATATTATATAAAATATATAATTTTATATAACATTTATAAAATTGATAATTTTTACACTTATATTTTTATAAATAATATAAATATAAAATATTTCTTCTATATATTCTATATAAAATATAATTTTAATTTTTTTTTTTTTTTTCTTATTAATTATAAATATTTTAAATTTTAATATCTGAATTATATATATGATACAAAATAAAATAGTTTTTAATTTCATAATATAATTAATCAGTGTAATTTAAACTTAGATAATAAAATTTAAATTTATAATAAAACTTCGAATTCATAATACTTAATTAATCTTAATTTAACATAATTTCACATTTTTAAATTAATTTCGTAATAATTAATATTAAATATCATTTTATCTGAAAAGTGTAGAAAAATACAAAACTTTTATTTAATAAATTTTATAAAAAAGCTGAGATTTAATAGCATAAATAATAAATTTTGATAATTTGAGACTAATCATTAGAATAAAATTAGTAATTTTAATTTAAAAATTTCTTTGAGATGAAGAAATGAAAAAAAAATTTAAGTTATTATTAAATATTTGAAAATTAAGGTTTTTTTAAATAATATTAATTTGAAAATATTATATAATAACAAGAATTACAAAAAAAGTTTAAAACTTGAAGTAATTTAAAGGAAAATCAAATAAATTTTAAACACCCAAGTCGAAATTTAAAAAGTAACAAAAATAAGATAAAATCTAAATATATAATTTTATTTCAAAAAAATAGAAATTTAAAATCTACTATACACATAAAAAATAAAATAATTTTATACTTATTAAACATTACTAAATTATAATAATTAAAATTTAAATACTCTCGTTTTATAAAATATATAATTCTTATATATAATAGCATATTTAAAATATAATAAACTTATTAAAGAAATTAATTAAATTAAAAATTGCTTTGGTAGATTATAATATTATGAAAGGAAAAGTTTAATTTTTTTAAGATTTAACCTTTACTTTAATCACAGAAAATTAGGCTTTGAGATTATGTTTAGACAAGTAAAGTAAAAAATGATTTTTATTAAAAAAATACTATAAATAATATTAACTAATAAATATTTGATTCAAATTATATTTATTATTTATAATATATAAAAAATAAAAATAATTATTTATATTTTATTAAAATAATTTTAATTATTAAATTAATTTTTTGTTTTTTGATGATATAAAAAGTAGAGAATATTTTAATTTTTATCATACATTATCTTCTTAAAGTTATTTATTATTTTCTTGTTTTATATTTAATGTTTCAATTTATTTTTATAACTTTTTTTATTTTCAAAAAAAATAAAAGTAATAATAGTTAATATATCTTTAAAATAAATACTTAAATTATTTAATCATTTCTGTTTTATATAGTTTATTATTATTTTTCAATTAAAAGGCATTTTTATTTATATTCTTCTTCCAATCTTTATTATTTTTATTACTCAAATAAAATTTATTTCTATTAATTGTTTATAATATAATTTAACTAATTGATTTGTGTTTCTTAGCTTTTATTATTAACTTTCATTTCATTTTGTAATTCAATAATTTATTATTATAACTAACTAATCATGAATTAATGTTATTAATTTGCCTAACCTTATTAAATAAGTAAAACTTTTAATTAACTATGTAATGATTATTCATTTGATTTTTGACTTTAGCTTTATTAGGGCGAGCCTTAAAGTTATTTTTTTATGGATTCAAACAAATCATTTTTATATAATTTACTTGTACTTTATTAATCTATTTTTTTTATTTTTTTTTGTATTAAAAAATTATAAAATATTAAAATTTAACTATTTTAATATATTTTAGGCTTAGAATTCTTTTTCTTATAATCTTTTTATTAAATTCTATTATTTGTAATAAATGAACACCTATCGCTTTATATTTAGCGATCTGTAGATAAAGATTGGTTATTATATTAATTTTATTAAAACAAATGATGTTTGTTATAAAGAAATTAATTTATTTATTAGTTTAATTATTGATTGTATATCATTTTTTTTTTTAGTAATTTTTTATATATTTATTTATAAATCAAAATTAATACACTTTTTATTTATTTAGGAAGTATATAATTGACCATAAAATAAAAAATAATGTTTTATTAAAAAAATTATAAAATTAAAAAAGTAATAAAACTTAAATAAGTTATATATTTTTAATTTAAGACTAATTTTTGTTTTGTTTTCTTTTTTTTTATAAAAAATATAATTTTTAAATTATAAAATATATAATTTTTAAATTATAAAATGTATTATTTTTAAATTATAAAAAAATTAATTTTGTTATTTTTATATTTTTAAATTAAAAAGTTGATTATTATTAATTTTTTAATTTAATAAAAAAAATGCAAACAAGCTAATAAGAAATATAAAACTTAATTTCAAGGCAATAATAAATAATAAATATATACTAAGAAGACTAGCAAATATTAAATAAAAAGCGAAGCAAAAAATATGTTTTATTTATTATGTTAATTTTACTTTTATTATTCTATATAACAATCCAAACAATAGTATTAAAAAATAACTCCAATAATAAAAATATAAAAAAAAACAAAGATAATTCATAAGATCTTTAATAATTATAAATATAAGAATAAAATAGTCTAAACTAAAGCCTTTCATTATTAAAAGTCTTTGAGATAACCCCAAAAGAATTTCCAATAAACGAATAAACATTACTATGGGGGCATTACAAACCTTAACTAATATTATCATTAACCCAAAAGGATATAAACCCATTAACTATAAGCTTAAGTTACATAACATCAACCTATAACTAATTGCTTTTAAATTACAGAGATAAAAATGCTGAAAAAGACATAAATTTCAATTTCTTATGTAATAATGGGCACTCTTTTTCTGTTTTTGAGATTTAAGACAAAAAAACATGTTTTTTTAAATAGTACTTTTATTAAAACTTCCGCAGAATAAAATTTACAAGAATGGATTTTTATAAATAAAATAAAAAAAACAGGATAAAAATAAAGCGTTATTTTTAGTATAGGGAAGGAGTTTTATAATTAAAATGAGTAAAATGAAAAAATAGATTTTTTCGAAATTCAAAAATCGATTTTTGATGTAAAAATAGTAAAAAAATATAGCCAAAAAGGACGTGTTTTTTAAGAAGGAATTTTTTATTTTTATGTACTTTAAAATAACGGTGAGAAAATAGTTAATTTAGATTAAAACGATGTGTTTTCATTTTAAAGTATTTGCGAAAAAAATAGTAGTTTTTATAATTATAAAAGCTGGGATATATCAAATAATATAAAAAATATTCCTTAAAATAAACATAAACTAATTTTAGAAAATAATATATGCTAAGAAGGCTAAAAAAATTACCTTCTTTTCTTATAATTTACTTTTCAGCCTTAAGAAAATTACGAAATTAATATAAAATATTCATCAAATATTAAAGAATTTTTAAAAGAGGAATTTTTGGAAGAAAAAAAAAAAAATTACAACATCGAAGAAATTTTAATCCAAAGATATAATGAGAATATATAAAAGAAATTAAAAAGTTAATAAAACTTACAAAAATGTACTGTTTCTGCTGTTTCCAATCTTTTTGGAGGCCTAAGTTTTAAATATGGCTAATTAAAATTATTATAAATTAATCATAGTAAAAAAATAAAATATACATATGTCATTTATATTTTTAATTTTTTTTAAAAAAAGACTAAATCCCTAAACCAATATTTAGTTTTACGCCTTCAAGGTAAAGATTCAGTTGGTCATTTTTATGGGATGATGGTTTTCATAATGCCATAGCTAGCAAATTCGAGGAAAATATATCTAAGGAAATAATAAAAAGCTGGTTAGACACAATGACAGAAGACGGCTGGATTTGCCGCGAACAAACGAGAGGGGAAGAAGCCGAGAAATTGTGTAATTGTCCCGAATTTTTATGGAAAGATAATCGTGATGGAAATCCACCATCTTTAATTTTAACTATAGATTTTTTTATCCGTGAACATATGGATATTATAAAAGAATTATAAAATGAAGGTTATGTTGAAAAAATAGAAAAATGGTTTTAATGGTATATGAGAACTTAAATGATAAACGATATTGATATATTTGAAAAAAAAATGAAAGTTTCGTTTTCAAATGGTGGGACCAAAATGGAGGTTTAAAATAATCTTTTAATAGTGGTATGGATGATTATCCCAGAAACGATTAATATTTACCTTAATATTAGCCTATAGGACATATTGATGCTTAAAGTTGGATGTATTATTTTGCATATGTACTTAAAGAATTATTCGAGAAATTGAATAATGTAGAAAAATAAGCTTATTATAAGAATATATAATAAGATATTAAAGAAGCAACTTATAAATATTTTTTAGATTCGAAAGATAATCTTTTTAAAGACCTGCTTTTTTCTAAAAATAATAAATAATTATAATTTAGTTCTCATTTCGGATACCCAAATATATTGCCTTTAGCCTTAGGACTTATCAATTAAGATACTTTAGAATTAGAGACTATTGTTTAACACATATAAAATGAGAATGTTCTTTGGACAAAATATGGACTTAGAAGTTTAGCTAAAAACGATTATTTTTTCGAAAAAGGGTAGAATTATTGGACAGGACCAATTTGGATTCATATTAATTATTTAGTTTTAAAAGGTTTAAAATAATATTATTTTGAAAATTAAAATGTTGCTAGTTTATATAATAAATTAAGGGATAATTTAATTTAATTAGTTTGTGGAACATTTGAAAGGGATGGATATTTTTATGAAAATTATAATTAGAATGGATTTGGGACACATTCTTATCCTTTTACTGGTTGGACATCTATTATAGCTTTAATAAATAATGAAAATTATTGATTTATATATATTATTTATAATGGATTTTTTTTTATTTTTTATTTTTTTTTATTTTTTTAATTTTATTTATATTTTTATTTTTATTTTTATTTTTATTTTTATTTTTATTTTTATTTTTATTTATGATTTTTATTTTTAATTTTGTTTTGTTTTTTATTTTAGTTTTTATTTATTGTATATATTATTTTTATACTTTATTAAATTATATATTTGGGCATATATTTAATGAAAAAAATAACTAAATCATTAGATAATATAATTGAATTTAAAGGATTAGATACATATTAAAATATTCATAGTAGATTTTAATATTTTTAATCTTTTGAACATAAATAGAGCCTTTTTTCCCGAAAAATTTTATCTGCGCGTCGTTAAAAAGATTAATTTAAATTAACTTAAAATATAAAATTTAACAGAAAAAATGATTAAATACAAAATAATGAAAATAAAAAATAAAGTCTTATTTAAAGGAGTTTAACAATGAATTTAAAGAAAAGCATTAAAAGTGATAATATAAATTATTTAGTGGAGTTAATTCAAGATTTTATAAATGAAAATGAATAATATATGTAGTTGAGTACAGATAAAATAATTAGTAAATTTAATATAAATAAGAATTATTTAGAAAAACTAAAAAACTAAGAATAGAAAGAAAATTATTTAATTTAATAAATAAAATAAAGTATGAGTGAATAAATATAATTTTTACTAGAAAAAATAGATAGTAGAATGTAAATTAATTTAAAACAAGAAAAGACAGAATAATAAAAATTCCAAAAAAAAAGTATTGAAAAAAATCTTTTTTAATGGGTAAATGTAAAAACATAATATGATGAATTAAAACCTAAATTAAGGATGTGTTTGTTTGATATTTTACATGAAAAAAATTCACTTTTTTTAAATTAGTTTCTTGCCTAAGACGATGAAAAAAATGATTAAAATTAAAAAATTTTTTGGAATGAAAAATTCGAGAAAACTTTTTAATAATTAGAAAATGAAAATAAATAAAAATATACCAAAAAAAGCAAAAAAAACAACTTTTTTCATATCTCAATTTTACCAATTAAAAAAGAACAACTCTGCGTTTATGAAAAACTAGATTTATATAGAGAACTTCTAATTTAAAAATAAAAAGAAGGAGATATTCTAACCTAAAAAGAGGAAATTTTTATGATAAATACGAGTAAATTATTAACATAGAATTAAAATAAAAACGTAATTTAGAAATTAATAGATGAAATAAACATATAGGAAATACAAAAAATCGAGTTGGCAATTTCAGATAATATAATAAATTAATATGTAAATATTCTTTAAGAATTTAAAAAATAAAGGACAATTTTTTTGTAATAGAAATTATAAGAAAATAAAGAAAAATAAAAAGATTTTAATGTTTTATAAAACATAAAAGTTTAAATTTAAAAAAAAGTTAAAAAAAAATACCAAAAATAATAATTGGAAAAAATAAAAAAAAAACTCTCGAATGTTCTCGATAATATTACGCATATTTAAAAAATCAAAAATAATTATTTTGTTAGACATTTCATAATTTAACTTAAAAAAAAAGTAGCCTTTAAAAAATCTGAATCTTTTTTTTAGAAAGAGCCTTTGAATTAGAAATAATTTAATTAGAATTAAGAAGATCTTTAAAAAATTTAACAAAAAAAACTTTTCTTTACCGCTTAAGATAATAATAATAAATACTAACAAAATATTATAACTATAAAATAATCATAAAATACATATCATCCAAGTTCAAAAGTAAAAAAAAAAAAAAAAATTAAAAACTAAAAAAAATTAAATAAAGTTAATAATGGGACTTTAAAACATAAATTAATTACAAGAAAATAATCAAAAAATTCTAAAAAAAACTGTTTATGATGAAAAACATATAAAATAATTATATATTTAAAAAAAGTTAAGTAATTAATATAAAAGGAAAATAAAAGAAAAAGAATAAACTTGTTATAAAAAGCATTTTATTAATTTTTACAGTAATGGACCTTCTTTAGAAAATAATAATATTTTCGCCTTTACATAAAATGATGAGGAGATAAATACATAAACGAAAACAACAAATAAGGAAATATAATAACAAGCCTGTATAATAATCTAAAAATGGATTAAAAAGTATTTATAAGTAAAAAAATATAGAAATTTACTTTAAAATTCGAGAGAAAAAGAGGAAAAAAAAGTTCTAAAATCTTTAAAATAACACGAAGAAAATAAAGCTTTAATGTAATTCATAAAAGACCAATTTAAATAAAAAAAGTCATAATAAAAAGTTGGAGAAGAAGAATAATTATCTGCTTTTAAAAAAAGAAAAAAAATTAACTATTGTTTAACATTTAATGATTATAATTATTAATAATAAAACAATTAATAAAACTCTATTAATACTCAATAATCTAATTAAAAACAATAAAAAAGACATAAAAATTCCCTTTAAGAAAAACTTACAATTTTAACAAATAATTCATTTAAAAAAAATAATAATTTAAAAAAATCTTCTTTAATTTTACAAGATGAACCATAAAGTACCAGATTTACAGAAAGTATCTAATATCAAACTAATAATACATAAAGAAGTTACATTTCTGAAAAAAAAGTAGGACTTTTAATTAAATAAAAAAAACTAATTAACGCAGCAAAATAAGGCAATCTTTTAGTGGTGAAAAATTCCGGTTATATTTTTTACCCTAGAGACATAAATATTCAAGATGAAAAAAAAAATACACCACTATATTACGTAACTAAAAAAAAAGACGATGAATTTGTTAAATTTTTGTTAAAATCAGGTGCTGACGTTAATATTAAATGCTAAAACTCGAATACTCCCTTACATATAGCCTTTCAAAGTGTACATGAAAGCATTATTCTAAATTTCCTTTAAATGGTGGTGATCTTAATGCCGTAAATGATTTCGGATAGACACCTGCTTCATATGGAAGTTTCAGTTTATTGTAGAAGTTGGGATTAATGAATGCTGTTTCTCATTCTTTTGGGAAAGGGAAATTTGATAATAATTAAATGAAATGCTTTTAATAAAAATTTGTGAATGGAAAAAATGTATAAGATAATGTTGATAATGAAATTATTTAAATGGAAAATTCTGTTTTGTTTTAATATTAGAAAAAAAAAAATAGTGAGTCATTAAAAGTATTATGTTTTAGAGAAAGCATAGATAGGAATGAAAAAAAAATTTAAATACCTAATGTTCAAAGTTTTATTCGTTGAAAAAAATAAAGAAATAATTTCTTCCATCCTTCCTAATTTAATTTTATTTTTATTTTTAAACATATATTAAATTTTATTTCATTTATTTTAATTATAATATTTTTAAAAAATATAAATAAATAACAAAAACATAATAAATAAATATAGAAATTTAAATAAAAATAAATTAATATAAATTAATATTATTATATATATAATACAATTTTTTTTTATATTAATATAATTTCTAATTTAATATTTATACATATAATTTTATTTTAAAATAAAATTAAAGGACTAAATTATTAATTTAAATATACGAAATTATTTATTACTAAATTTATAATATATTATAAAATTTATAATTACTATTATTTTATTTTTCTATTAATTAATCTTTTATTATATCTTATTTATATATCTTTTATTTATAAATTAAGATTTATTCTTACATTAATTAATATTTAAATTTAATATGATTTGGCATACTAAATTTCTTAAAATCACAAAAATAAATGTTTTATGTTTCCTTTAATAATAATATTCATTATTGGAACAAAAAATGCTATCACATTCAATATATTCACAATTATTGTTATCTTCAGGAATATTTTTTTATATAATGTTTCATATATTTTTACACCTTTAAGAATTGTATCGATTCTCTTATTAAAAATTTGTTCAGTTTTATATTTCCTAATTTATAGATTGGTTTTAGTCTAATTATCGTAAAAAATATTTTTATTTATTTAAAAAGTTAGTTATTTTTCTTTTTTTATGGTTTAGTAAAAATTGTTTGCTTATATTATATTATTTAAATTTGCTGTATATTATAAATATAAGATAATTGTTATTTTTAATATAAATTTTTAAATTCTTATATATTTTATGTAAAAATACTTTAACAAAAAATATTTTTTATTTTTTTTTCTTTAACTTTTTTTTTTTTTTATTTAAAAATAATATTTATTAACAATAAATTTAAAATAAAAAGTTTTAGATTATTTTTTTATATTAAAATTAGTAGGAATAATTTTATATTAAATCATTCTAAACTTACATCATATAAAAATATTAAAGAAATAACAAAAGTTCTAATTATTAAATAACTTTTATATAAAAAAGAACGAAGAAAAAAACAAACAAACAAAATCACATAGAGTTACAACAATTATAATAACAACTATCACTTCCCATTCTACTACAATCAATTTTATTATAAGCTGCCTAACAATAATCAATAGGTACCGGTTTTAGTACATCCCAAGGTAATTTCTCTCCCCATTACTTAAGAATATCTGCCCACCAATAAATCCTATAAACACTATGTCCATATTAATTAAAATAACTAGTAGATGGACAACAATCATATCCCCCATTAATAATATTAATAACCATTCCAATACTATTATATTTAACAATTGCATTGTGTGGACTTTCTTTATTTAAATCAATCCAATGATCTTTATTGCAATTTTAATTTCCACAATTATTTCCTGGTCCCAAAGGACATTCTTAATCACATTAGTTTTTAAAAGGCCAAGCTGCTTAGGGCATACACCATCCTCCAAAGTTATGTTATTACATCCAAAACCAAAGCGCAGAAGCCCAGCATAATTCCGTATTATTATTTAATAAATTCGGGTTTTCGATAACTCTAGTATCTCCAAAGTAGCTTTTAGAGAATTCGTTGTAGTTTGTATCCCAAGAAATTTATAAAGGACCCCTCCCGTAATATTATTTATTAGGATTTTATTCACATTCCTTACCTTTTGTATCATAAAAACATACGCTACAATTAGGGCATCCGTTTTCTTAAACGCAAGGAAATCCAACTCCAAAAGAAGTTTCTGCACCTATTATTGATAGGAAAGCAGCGAATTCTTTTTTATCAGTTTATTCATCCCCTGAGTTGCAAAAAGAAGGATATTTTTAAGCTGCTTTGGTTATGTCTTTTAGCCATTATTCAGATTAGTTTTAGTCTACGGAAGGGTTTATGTTTATTATTAAGGATTTTAAGCTACTTGGGCTTTAGATCCATTTCGTAAAGTTTCTACTGGAGATAGAATGTTAAGAGAAAAGACTAGATTTTAAAATAGATATTATAAAAATAAATGTTAAAAAATATAAGAAAAATTATATTATTTATTTTAAATACATTTATTTTAATTTTTATTTTTTTAAAAAAAATATTTTAAAATTATATTTATATATCTATTTAAAAAACAATATGAATTTTATTTATTATATTTTAATGTAAAAATAAAATAAAAACATATATTATAATTTTAGATTTTAAATATAATAAATTTGTGGTAATTATTTCTTTTAAATAAATATTTATATAATTTAATGCTTTTATTTTATTAACTATATAAATACTATCATATAAAAAATAAAGATTATATATATAAAAAAAAATACTAGAATATATCTAAAAAAATAAATATAATAATAATAATAATAAAATCGTGCTAGATTATTATTCATCATTTAAATCTATTCAATTTTTATATACAAAATCATATCTATAAAATTTATGAGAAAATAAAATTTCAAACCAATTATTTATATAAAATCTATACTGCTTACTAAATAAATTATATTTTTTTAACAAAATATATATATATTATAAACTTTTAATTTGGTAATTACATAAATAATTCATAACTTTTTTTTAAAAAAAAAAAATTAAACACATTTAAATGACATTAAATATAATAATTCATATTCATATAATAATTTGGTTTTTTTTGTTATATGCTTCTCATAAAAACATTAATAAATCTAATATTTATTTATAAATAAGCATTTCATATTTATTTATAAAAAATAAATGTATAGTTAAAAATAAATAAAATTATAATATTTTAAAAATTTAGAAAAGAATAAGTATATGCAGAAATAAAGGTAAAATATATATAATTTTAATATTGTATTTAACCATTATTAAATTTTTATTTCCATATTATTATTTATATAATTTAAATATTTAAGGAATTATAGAAAAATCGAAAAATGTTTTTGCAATTAATATATATTTAATATTATCTAATTAATAAATTTTACATTAATTAATAAAAAATAATTTTAAAAATATAAAATTTAAAATAATGAAAACAAACTAATTTTTTTAAATAAATTTGTTTAAAATAATAAGAAAAATTAATTTTATTTATATTTACATTACATAATATACATAAAATAAGCAATAAAGTAAATAAATAAACTTCTTATTTAATTTTAAATGAATAATAGATTAATATTATAAATGATTGATTTAACATAAATAATTAAAATATAATATTTATAGCGAAAAAAAGATATTATTTAACATTAAAAATAATTGTGAATATAATTTAAATTTTTAAAGTTTTGTAAAAAAGATAATATTTTTGACGAAATAAAAAATAAAAATTAATTGTATATTAAAAAAATAATAATAAAATTATTGTTAAATAAACTATTAAATTTAAAAATATATTAATATTTAAATAATAGATTTTTAATTTATTTTTTAAAACTATATAATCATATTTAAATTAATTATAAAATAAAATGTTATTATTTTAATTTTCATATTTTATATATATAATTTAATTAAATTTTTTTAATTTCTTAATTTTTTTTAATTTTCTAAATAATTTTTTTAAATTAAAAAAAAATGAAAATTTTATAATTTTGTTTAATTAATTATTTATATATATTTTAATATTTAAATATCAAATTTAAAGATAATTAATTTATTTATTAAAAAAAATAATTTTTTATTAGTAATAATAATTAATAGTATCGAAAATATAAAAAAATAACTTAAAAAAATTAATTAATTTTATATAAAATTTATCAGAATTTAATTAATTTATTTCATATTTATAATAATTTTTACTATTTAATTATTTACACTACATTATTTCAATTTTAAAATAATAATTTATAATAGCCACGCCACTTTTATAAAAAAATAAAAAATAAAAGCATAAACAAATACAAAACAAAAAAATTAAATTTTTATAAAAAAATAAAATAAAAAAGCTAAAGATGTTTAATAGACTAAAACAATTTTTTTCTAAATAGCCCAAAAAATCCATATCTTAATCTTAAACTTCTTAAAACTAAAACCATATACAATTAGATTCTTAAAATATAAAAAACTACGACTAAATGTAAAAACGTGAAGATAAAGTAAACCTATAAAACTAACCTATAGAATAAAAAGAAGAACAACAAAAACTAACACTAGAAGAAGCAGAAAATTCTATTTAGTGCTAGTTTTTAAGCGAAACAAACACTTTTTAAAAAACCGAAAAAAAAACTTTATTTGTAGTATAAGTATAAAAACACACATGAATTAAAAAAAAAATAAAGTCCCAATGGATTTAGTTTGCGTAATAGACGATAGTGGCTCGATGTCTAGTAAAGCCTAACTAGTAAGAAAGTCATTAAAATACTTATTAAAAATTCTAGGCTAAAACGACCGAATATGTTTAATAAGTTTTGACTAATAAGCTACTATATTGACCCCTTTTTTGAAAATAAACGACTAGAACAAGGTCGAATTAAAAGCTGCAATTTAATAAATACAAGGCAGGGGTTCTACACGTATAGATTTAGGTCTACAAGCTGGATTATAAATGATTTAAGGAAGATAAAGCAAAAATCAACTCACTTGTTTGTTTTTACTTTCCGATGGATAAGACGATAAACCCAATATAGACATAAGAGCCTAATAATTGATTAATTCTTATTAAATTTAAGACAATTTCCTTATAAATACATACGGATATGGGTCTTATCATGATGCAGTTAAAATGAGAAATATAGCCGAGAAAAATAAAGGAGGGTATTATTATATTGAAAATGTGAAAAAAGTCTCTGAATGGTTAATTTTGTCTGTAGGGGGTCTTTTGAGTGTTTTGGGGGAAAATGCTTTAATTAATATAAAAGTTTAAGATAATAATAATTTTTCTATAGTTAATTTTTTCGCAGGAGATTAATAATTTGAAGAGAAAAAAAAAGGAGAACATTATATTTTGAAAATTCCACTTATAATTTTAGGAGATAAGAAAATTTTCGTCTTTGAATGTGAATATAAAGGAAAAAATACAAATAATTATTAAAATTAAGCTAATAGTAATGTTATATAAGCAAATTTATAAGTAAAATTACTTAATTAAGAGTCTGTAGTCTATAAAAAGGCCTTTTTAGAAGTAAAGTTTGTGGATGAAAAAGAGGATGCTTTAAATAATAAAAAAGAAGAGTTTTACGAAGAATTAATTGTGGCTTATTAAAGATCTATGGGAGGTTTAAAAATAAAAGAAGCGACTGATTTAGCCACTAACTAACAATTTAAAGAAGGAAAACTATTATTAATATCTTTTTAGGAAAGTATTTAAGTCTATTTAAAAGAATTCCCAGATAATAAGGGTTTAATTCATTTATAAGATGATTTAAATGATGCAATAAATAAATGTTCTCCTAAATTATTTAAATAGGCTTCATTTTAAAAAATGAATATTGTTCATTTATAAAGAAGAAATTCTATTACACATTTTGAAGATTGGAATGAATGCGAAAATTAAGTCTTTTAATATTATAATGATGACAAATATTAACTTAGTGATGATTCTTGTGATAATGATGATTATAATGATAACGAAAGAAAATAAATATAAAAAAAATAAAGAATAAAAATAAAAAAAATAAGGTGGTCTATAAAAAATAAGTAAAAACTCAGATTCTCATGATAATAGTAATTCTAGCTCAGATTATGAATAATATTAATAATAAGGAATATAATAATAATTAGAAATATAAAGAAAAAGTTGCGATTTTAATAATAAAATAATTATGATAGTGATTGTGAAATGTGAAATGTGAAGAATTAACTTAGATAAAAAACTTAATTATTTATTAATTAATTTTTTAAAAAATATAATATAATCAATATAAATATATTTAATATTATTTCGTATTTAATATTTGAAAAGTATTTCTGAACTTTTTATTTAGTATAATTTTTATATAAAAGTATATTAAAAAAATTCAACATAATAATATAGATTTATAAAAATAATTAAATATTAAATCATGAAAAAAATTTAAAATGTTAAATATAAAAATATATATTTCATATATATTTATAATTATATATATTTATATATACATATATATATTATAATAAATATATAAAAACATAATATTTAGTAATCTAAATATTATTAATATATTTTATTATTTAAAATTTTATTTATATAATTTTTTAAAGAAATTTTAATAATTAATAAAAAATGTCTAATTAATTTTTTAAATAAATAAAAACACTTGTATATATTTGTAAAAATATTAAATATATATTAATTTATTTGTATTTTTCAAATGTTTCTTTTTTAACATTCCTTAAGAATATCCATATAAGTTTGACACATAGAGATTTCTTAATAATTCTTTAAACACTAAAAAATTTTAATAATATAAACTAAATTATATAATTTTATAATTACATTAGTAAAACTTTAAGTTTCATCTCCACATAATTATTATTATGGTTATTGGTATTATTATTATTGTTGTTATTATTATTCAACCTATTATTGTCCATGACCAGAACCTCCTCCAATTACTGATCTTATTGCTTAATGTGCTACTTCAGAACCAGCCCCAAAAGCCATTCCTGTCATAAGGGTACTTCCTAAACCTGAGAAAATACCACCAGATTTTTATTATTATACGGGTGGTTATTAAACTGGTCTAGTGGGCTAATATGCGGGTCTTTGTGCTGTTGCTGTACTTCTTGAGCTTGATGTTCTACTTGATGATGATGCTATTTTTTTAATTTATTTTTAATATATATTCGTTTTTGGTAAATTATATAATTACATCTTCTAGGCATTTTGTATATTTGTTAGTTTTTTTTTATTATTTTCAATTTTATTATTTCTCTTAATTATTATATTTTTATATAATAAAAGACTTTTGTATATATTTATATAAGATTATAGAAATTTCTATAGAAATTAATTATAAATTTATTTAGTTTCCTTTTAATAATTAATTATCTCAGAAAATATTATAAAATTATATTTCTAAAGAGTAAATAAAAAAATAATAAAATAAATTTGAAATAGATAACATTATATACATGTTTATTATTAAATATTAATTTAGTAAATATTTAATAATTATTTTATAAATAAAAAAAGTTTCTTTAAGATTATAATTTATAAAGAAATTATATTTGTTTACAAATTTTTTATATTTATATATTTATTAAAAAAATTTAAATAGAATTTTTTTATTTTTCTAAAAGAAGAATAATTAATACTATAATAATCTCTCTGTTGTATAAATAATTAATTTTACCTGTAAAATCATTAAAAAAAATTAAATTAATATATATTAAATTCATATTTATATAATAATTCTTTTTATATATTTTTATATATATCTATATATATTTCTTATTTTATATCTGCTCATAGTTAGTCTTATTAATAATCTTATTTTTATAATTATTCTTATTATAATTTTATATTTTATTTTTAAGATAAAGAACAAGAAAATGCCCATCCACTTAAATGAGGTAATGAGTACTTTTAAATTTTTTAAAAATAAAATAAATAAATATTTTACTTAAATATTTAATTATAAAAATTTAAATTATGAATGTGTTAAATCAATTATTAATTAATCTCCTATTTTTTTCCCTTAACTATCACATTCTTAAAATTAAAATTTAACTTTTTTATCGCTTAAAACATTTTCAATTTTTAAATATTTAGGTTTAAATTATATTGATTCTATATATTTATTTATTTTTTTTAAAAAAAAATATTAAACAAATAAATTAAATATTTTATAATATAACAATAATATATTTCTTCTTCTTTATTTGATAAATCAAAATTTAAAATTTAATCAATTTAAATAAAAGGCAATCTAAAATATTTAGAACTTAAGTCCTAAATAGATATAAAAAAATTAAATAATAATAATAAATAAAATAATAACTGGATAATATTTTTCAGTATTTTTTATAGCAGGAATTTCTTCAAATTTTAAGATTAATCCTGAAAAATATTTCATATTATTAGCTTATAATTTATTTTGTTTAATAACAGGCTTTAAATATATATATAAAATATAAATATAAAAAATTATTTATATACATTTTTATATATTTATATATATATTGATATTTTATATATTTATATTATATATATATATATCAATTCTTTTTTGTATATTTTTATAAATAAAATGTATTTTAAATACAGGAATTGGTAAAATATATAAAGTATGTGTTTCTCCTGCAAATTACAAAGAATCGTTCCATACTTAAAATACTTTTTAATAAATACAAATATAGTATATTTATATAAAGTTTAATATTTTATTATAATTTTAGATTAATTTTTAGCAAATTTAATTTCTTAGTTGTTACTATAATTTTTATTTGTTTACTTGTTGGATATTATTACTATTATTTTTAATCTTAATTATATTATTGTTTGCCATTTTGATATTATTTATTTTAATTATAATTATTATTGAACAAACCTTATTTTTTTTATTAATCTTAACCTTCGATAAAGGAACTCTTTTGAAATTCTAAAATATTGGAAATAGTATTTATAATATAAATAATAATAACATACATATTTTTTTAAAAGCTTATTTATTATATTAGAAGATTTTTCTTATAACTATCATTTTTAATTGTGTAAATTTAATTATTTTATATAAAAAAAAAGAATCTTATATTAAATATAATAAATTATTTAAAATTAGCTCAAAACATAAATATAATTATAGTTTTTTATTATTTATAAAAAATAATTAAAATAATATATAAATAAAAAATAATTTTTTAACGTAAAATAAAATAAAATAATATATATATATATATATTTTAAGCTTTATAAAATTCTTATTAAATAAATCAATTTATTGAATAAAATATTATTTATATATATATATATTTATGCTTTTCTTTCTATCTCATTTACCAATTTTAGGAATCTAAGTTGATTGAGTAATAAAATTTTTAACTCTTTCTTAATCAATATTATGTTAATCTTAAATAGCTGTTTTCCTTGCATTTGCGAAAGTTTATCCGAAAATATTTGCTGCTACAATTCTTTTATTAGTTCCAGTATAACCAGGTAAAGGAGTTCCTAATTTTACTTTTTTTTTTAATTATTTTTTTGTCAAAAAAAAATAAAATAAAATAAAAAAATACATGTTTATTTATTTTCATCTCCATAAAATTAACTCACACTTTTTTAGAAATCTTCTTAAACTTTTTAATTATTTTAATTTTCCTTTTATTTTTCTACAAGTTATTATTATTATTACCAAAAGTTACTATTTTTAAGATTTTCAGTCTTTTATATTTAAAAACAATATTTTTGTTATAATTATATATATAAAAAATATATATATACTTAATTATAGTTAAATTTATTTGCTTAAACGCCCACAATTTCTGCGGCAGTTCTTTATAGTACTTCATTTTAATTCATATATATATCACCATACATACTTTTATATCTTTAAGAAGGCGGAACATCTTATCCTTAATGTAAATCTCCAGCAGAAATAGCATAAGTTATTTTTCCGTATGTTTTTCCGAATATATTTTCACATTTAATTGAATTAACATATCCTTCATAACCTTTTTAATTTTTTTTTTTTTTTTATATATATATATACATATAATATTTTTTTTTACCAGGGATTTAATAACGAGGATCTTATTTATTAATTACTAAAACATCATCTCTTTAAATATTTGGAATATGACTTTTTTATATATTTTTATTAAATAAAGTCATGCCTTTTTTAAAAAAAAAATATACCCTGTATAGCCAGGTACAATATAAGAAAGTCTTGTTCCTTCAAACATTAAAATTTTTATTCTTTTATTTTTAGTTTTTAATTAATATTATTTAATTTTTTTTTTTTTTAATTAAAAGTTACACTTTATTATATTATTTAATATATATTAATAAAAAAAAAACATACAGAATAAATAAATAAAAAAATTAACTATCTATATTATAAAAAAGCATAAAATAAAAAAAAAGATATCTATGTATTTAATCCTAAAAAAACAAAAACTTTATTATTTTTAAAAACCGTGCTTTCCTAAAGAAAACTATTCTTCCCTTATACCCTTATACCCTTATACCAATATATTTTCCAAATAATCGTAAAATAAATACTTATTTCCATCTTTTTTTAAAAAAATAAAAAATTATTTTCCAAAATTCTAATCCTTTAATTCTTGAAAAACAAATCATAATTAAAAACAAGAATTTATCCTTATTCCATCCGCAATCCAATCCCCCAAAAAAAAAAAAAAAGTATTATTTTTTTTAAAAAAAATCTTATATTCTCCTATGGCAATATAAAGTCAATTTGAAATTTCGAAAAGGGATGAAATCTAGCAAATTTTATATGAAAAAAATTATATATATATATTTAAAAATAATATATTTTTAGTAAATACATCAAATTTATATAATTAAATTACAGTATCTATATTAGCTGCTCCTATTAGGAATATATTTTATATCAAAAGAGTTTGTTTTAATTAAACATAAGTAATTTATAATTGTTTAATTCATTTATTAAAATTAATAAACTTTATAGTTTTACATATCTGGTGTTCTAAGTTATTTTTCGGGAGAAAAAATAGTTAAATATCCCTAAAGTAAATACTCAGACAGGTATTTAATATCTGAAAAATCAATTTTCAAATTATCTTAATATTAATTAATTAGTTGTGTTTGTTAGAAAATTATTTTAACAACTTAAAATTAAAATTTTATATATTATTGCATTATAACTAATAAGGATTAATATATTTTTAACTCAATAAAAATTGATTATTTATAAATTTATTTTATCAAATATTATAAATTAATAATAAAAAGATGATTAAGATTTCTTTAAATTGGATAAATAAATATAGATAATTTTTGTATTTTTTAAGAGAAAATCTAGTTTTATAAATTAGAATTCTTTTGATAATTTAAATATTAAATTTTTATGCTCGAAATATATATATAAATGTCATAAAAGAGTTGGATTTTATACAAATAAATGTATTTTTAATATTTTTTATTTTAAAAGATTTCAAAAATATACTCTATTTAATGTTTTTAGATAATATTGAGTAATGTTTATCTAAATAAAAATTAAAAAAAAAAAAATCAAATAATAAATTATTTAGGATATTTTAAATAATTGTGTTATATAAAATATAGAGTAAAAGTTATATTTTTTCTTATATAAATTTGAAATTATTTGTGAGTAAAAAATAATAAAAAAAATTTTAAATTTTAGAAAAAAAAAAAATATATATTATAAAAGTTATAAGTATTAAAATTATAAAAATAAATTAACATTTTATTTAAATTTATAATTAATAGTAAAATAAATATTAATATATAAATATATATATATATTTATATATAAATAAATATATATATATATATTTATATATATTATTATTATTTTTTTATATTTTTTTACCAAACTAATACTAAAAAATAAATAATATTTATATGTTATTTTTTTAAAAAGATAATAAATAAACCGTATAAATAAATAGATAAATTTAAAATGTTTATATATTCTTCAATAGAGTGCTCTAAATCCAGGTGGTGGTAATCCTGTTTATAAATCAGTTCCTAATGGTCTCCTAAATAATAAAATGTGAGGTTCTGGTTTATGTATTTCATAATGAATCCATCCTCGACTTTATTATACTCCTAATGAACGCCATTCCAATTCATCTAGTAATCTTCCTTTTGGAATTTTTTTAAATAATGCTTTAGGTAATATAACATGACGATATTCGTAATATTCATCACTGTATTTATCACTGTATTCAATTTCTTCTGGAAAGTGAACCATTAATTTTTTATGTATTTTTTAATAATTTATATATTATTTTAAATTATTTTTTTATTAATATAAATATTTTTTGATGTATTGATACAATTTTTTTATATTTTATATTAATTGTTGATTATAATTAGAGTTTGTTATTTTTTTTATATTATAATTAAAATATTATTTTATATTTACATTCTTAAATTTAAAATTTTTTAAATTTTAAATTTCGAAAATTTTAGAATAAAATAAATAAATATGTTTTTATTCGAAATGTTATTAAAAATGTTATTTTTAGACTTTAAATAACTTTTTTTATTATAATTTATTTTAAAAAACATATATTTATCTTTCCCAATTAATTTAAAAAATAAATTCATAAGTTATAATTAATATATATATATTTCAGATAATATTATAAATGTAATTAATACTTTTATGTTTTTAAATAAAACAAAAAATATTTTATGTATTATTTAGTTCTAGTAAATCATATTCATTAAATATTTTTAAAAATTTAGTATTATTTAATAATAAATCAACTTTTTAGAAATAATTTAATTTAAATTCTAAATTTAATAAGCTTATGTAATTAAATGAGAATAAAATAAAATTAAATATTTAAAAAATATGAAATTTATAGATTAGTATTAAAAGATATTAATAAATATATATAAATACATTTATTTTAATTTTATAATAAATATTTAATATTTTTTAAAATAAAAAATTATTAAATACGGATATTTAAATATATAAAAATTAAAAGATTATAAAGAATAAAATAAATTATTTAATTTTTTTTATTTGATTATCTAAAATATTCTTAATACATTTTATTTTATTGATTAATTATTTATTAATTTTTTTATATTTTGATTTAGTTATAAAAAAAAATAAACGAAGAAATAAAATTTATATAAATAATATAAATTTTTTTAAAAACAATATAACTATTTTTTAATAAATTTTATAAATCAAATTATTTGTATAAACTAAAATGAAATTAATATATATTTTAATAATATAAGCATATACACATAATTCTAATAATAAATTAACTATAACTTGTAAAAAATATCCGTTTTTTTGTTTTTTTTTTTAAAAAAAAAAACACACAACACACACATATTTAAAAAATATTACCTTAAAAAAAAAATGAAAAAATGATAAAAAAAGGAAAATCTCCGCTTTATTATTAATCTGTTTATTCACATCATCTTTCTCTTTATCTAAACTACCCACAAATTAAATTATAAAATCAATAAATACCTTAAAAAAAGAACAATCCTAAAGTTAAATCATCTTAAGTTTTAAGTAAATTACTTGATACAATCAAATAATAATTACATTACTTAAACAGAGAAACACACATCTTAATAAAAATAATGGTATATTAGAATTAATAATATATAATGTCGAAAAATTACAAAGAGTAGTTAATTCCGCTAGTGAAAAAAATATTGTAAATTTAGATAATAATTTAAAACTTATAAAAGTTGATTTAGATAAAACTATTTCAAATTCATAATAAAAATAACAGATAAAATTATATTAATTAATAAAGATTAACTGATTATACTTCTTGGGTAGAATTATTAGTTTTACATTATTAGGCTTTGTCCTTTATTTATGAAGTCTTAAGATTACTTAATTCTTTATTAAATAAAGAAAATTTACACTTTAAGCTAAGTTTACTAAATAAAAAAACTTGTAAAAAATCTCATTTAAATTGAGTAAACATTTACATAAAACTCTATTTAAAGATACTCGTTTGTTTGACTTACTTGTGAATTTATTGATTTAAATTTTAGTTAATTATATTATTAGTAAATTAGCTTAAATTAATGAAAAAAAATTGTCTTTTTTGTTAAATTAAAGAACAAAATAATATTAGGAGATTTACTAAAAAATAGTGTTTATAACAAATAAAGAAGAAAAAAAAACTGTTGAACTTGATTTTAAATCATAAGAAGAATTCAGAGTTTAAAAATAAAATTACTTTAGATTGATTAATTCAATGTAGATCTCTTAATAGGAACACTTAATTACTGGTTTTTATTAAAAAATGGAAAATTTACTAATTATTAAAATGAATGATTAGGAGATAATAGATCATTGATATTGGTTTAATTTATTTTTAACAAAATGTTTTTTTTTTTTCGTTATTTATATATATTTGTTTGAATTTTTTAACTATAAAAAATTAGCTTTTTTATTTAAATAAAATAAAAAAAAAAGGTTAAAATATTTTTATTTTATAAATATATATATAAAAAAAAATTAAGGTTAAATTATTATTATTTTTTTTACAAAAAAAAACAAAAAAAAATGTCTTTTAAAAAAATAAAAATGCTTTTTTCGAGAACTGTTTCTTCAAATAAGCCTTAAATTTATACTCATCCTTCAATTTTGTTCGATTAAAATTTCCATGATGAGAATTAGGAAAAATATTCTACTAATAAAGAAATAATCCATTCATAATTAAGTTTGCATTTTTATTTTTATTTTTTACTTAATAAAATAATTAAAATAAATAAAAAGATTTCAAAAATAAACCAATAGACATTATAGGAATTCCAATAAAAGTCATAGACGAACAATAATTTGAAAAAAATATGAATTAATTAAATGACTTATTTAAATAAACATTAAATAATGAAATCACATTATTATAAATAGATCCCACTTACCATTTATATGAAAAAAGGATTTTTTAGAAAAAATATAGGTCATAAATATTATATAAAGGCGAAAATTTAAATTCTTTAGTAAAAAAAAAAAAATACAAAAATAAAAATATATATATAATTTAAATAGAAAATTTTAGAATAAAATCCTACTTTCCTTTAGAATTATAAGATTTGTAGTTAGATATATTTATTTAGATTTATATAAAAGTACTAATAAAGAAAAGATTGAAATTATGTAAAAACTAACATAAAAATCCGAAGAAATAAAGACTTAAGGTTATTTTACAAAATACTTTTATGAAGTAATAGAAACTTCACAAGACGAAAATTAAAAAGCTTAAAAAATTCAAGAATTCTTTGAAATTTTAGAATAAAAAGTCTTCTTTGATTAATTATAAATATAACCGGAAAATAATGAACTTTACTATTTATTAAAATAATCCTTATTATTGAGTTTTTTATCTGGTAAATAATCATATTTAGGATAAACTCCATGTCTATATTAAAGATTATATTTAGCAAATAATTTATCTTTGGAATAAATAAAGTAGATTTTTTAAGAAATGCTGATTTTTTGTAAAAAATAAAACCTTAAAAATATAGAGAATTTTAGCTGGGTATTTCCTCTGGTTTTTTCTCATGTTTATTAGTTTATAAATGACTATTATATGTTCTATTTATTATAAAAATTAGAGAAAAAAAGTGAATAGGGTATAACTGTTGTTTTAAAAAATATCCAGGTGGAAAGTTTTAAATAGATAATTTAACATTTTGGGGATTAAGGATTTAAAAAAAATGAAAATTTTTTATAATTTTTAGAAATAGAATAAAATTCGGAGGATAATGATGAAATTTTACTTGAAAAACATGCCATTTTGGAAATTTTATTTTAAAATAAATTATGGCAAAAATTTTTATAATTAATCCTTTTCCATATCTTACAGATGACTATAATTAGTTAAAAACTGAAGACAAAATAGAAATTAATAAAATATTTAATAATAATATTAAAAAATATACTTTTGTAGCAAATTAATATTTATAAAAATGAAATATATATATATATATATATATATATATATATATATATATATATATTATAGTTTGTTTTCAAATTATTAAGTGTAAATATATTTAGTTATATTTATATTAAATATTATTTGTTTTTTAACCAATATCATATTTGCTTTATAACATAAATATACTATTTTTATTAGTTATATTTTTAAATTACTATTATCTTAATATTAATAATAATGTTTTTTTTTTTGAAATTATAATATAATTTTGACAATTTTCAATATAAAATTATATAATATATTAATAAAAGTTGCATTTTCTGATTTCATTCCCATTATAAAATCAATTGTCTTTCGTAAGTATTTGTATCCAAATTTATCATTTATGAAATTTATATTAGATTTATTACTTTTCCATTCAAAAATATAAAGATATTTTCATATTTCAAATATAGAATTCGTTTTCTGTGTGTTTTTAATTTATTTCATTCTCCTTCGTATATATATTTTTTCACTTTTATATAATTAATTTTAATTATCTTTTACTTTACTTATATATATATATATATATATATATATATATATATATATATATATATACATATATATATTAATAATCTTAATACCAGATTTTAAATTTAATAAGTTCTAGAATTTAAAATTAAGATTTAAGATAAATATTTCATATACTTAAAGAATGTATTTTTATTACTTTTAGATTATTAATTTATTTCTTTAAAAAAAAATAATAAGTAGATTTAAATTTGTAATCTTTAATTTATAATAGAAAGAAAGTATAAATCATATTAAATTGTTATTAATTATTTTATTTTAAAACGAATTTTATAAATAACTATTAATATAAAGAAATTATTATTTAAGTTAGGTATATTTATTTTAAATTAAATTACTTTTATCAGGAAAATTTTTTTAATATTTATTATATTATAAAGTTTTAATTTAAAATTTAATATAATTTTTCTAAAGAATAGTTTAGTTTATAAAAATATGTTAAAATATTAGAATTATTATGAATTATTATATTATTATTATTAAAAAGATCTAGAAACGGTTACGGGAGAAAAGGATATTTTAAGAACTTAATTAATCAAAATAAATTATGAATTAAATATATTAGACAAAACATTAAACTTCATAAGAGTATTATTTCTAAAATAAAAATTTATTAAAAAAAAAAATAAGATGAAATTTCTGAGTTAAAGAATACTTTTACTTCAAATATAAATGAACTAAAAGCAAAAGAATATATATTTTATGTATTCCAGATTTTAAAAATGATATATATTCTTTCTAGAAATATATATTAATAAAACAAATAAAAATAAAAGCTTCATAAGACGAAAAAGGTGATCCTTTAAAAAAAAAATATATATATTATTAATCACATGTTTAAATAGATTGTAAAAATATTATTATTATATTTAATTATATTTATAAAATTATTATTATTTGATTTTATTGTCTATATAATATTTATAATTTTTTATATTTATAAACCTAATTTCATTTTAAATTTTAAAGGGAAATGATTATTAAATATTATATAAATCTTATAAGTTTTTTTGTTTTATTTTTTTATATATATTTTATATCAAATAACCTATTTTTAATAATTTAAATGTTTTATATTTCATATTTATTATTAAAATAGTATTAAGATAACATAAGTATTCCACATTTAATTTATTACTTGAATTTCAATCAAAATCAGAACACAAATTTTATTTCTATATACTTAAAATTTTTATTATTTTTAGTAAGATATAATTTATATTTTAAATAACTTATTTAATCAAAATTCTTGATTAATTATATAAAATTATTATTATTTTCATATGGATTTAAAAAAACTTAATGATTTCTTTATTCAGATATCATCCTATATACTATTATAGAATACATAATTTATTTTATTTTAATTTAATCTCTATTATAATTACTTTCATTTTTTTTTATTTTATTTTTTAAATTCTAGAATTAAGTAATTTAATTATTTTATATTTCAAAATAGTATAATAAATAATTTAAAGAATTTAAGAAAAAATAATATTGAATTTCTTGTTATTATTTGATAAATAATTTTAAATTTATGACACATTTAATAATCTAATTATGATATGATATTAACTATAATAATAACGACGCAATTTTTATTAATATTTAAAACAAAAATCTCTATTTAATTAAAATTAAGGTTGTATATAATATTGTAAAATTTTAAAATATATTTTATTTAATTATTATATTAAAATATATATGAAATATAAAAATTTTTAAAATAAAAGATATGTTTTAAAAATAAAAAAAAATAATATAAATAAAAAAAATATAAAAATATTAATATATATAAACAAATAAATATATATATATATAAATATATATTGATATTTATTTAAATATATATTTATATATTATTTTACACATGTATATATTTTTAAAGCATAAATTAAAATTATAATACAAAATACAAAATTAATAAATATATCTATATATCTTCATTAAAAATAATTTTATAGCATTACATTATTTTTTTAATTATCTATTGTTTTAGTATATTAAAATAAATCTCTCTCATTCGTTTTTTAAAATTTTTATAATTCTTCATAATTTTCATTTTCATAGTATTATTGTTTTTTATTTTAAAATACATTTATATGTTTTCGATTTTAATTTTTTTACATTCCTTCTTCATCTGTATTTTCAAAATCTAAACTTTATAAAGTCAATTCGTTTTCAGGATTATGTTTTTTATTTTTTTCTTTAATTTTGACATTAAATTTTTAAAATCTATATCCATCTTAAATTATGTGTTATTAAAACATTTTATAATAATCAGCAGTTTTAATAAGTTCTGTATTAAGTGTATTTATTTAAAAATTAGATTTTTAATATCCGACTTATTCAGCTTTTTCTTCTTCTTATTTCTATTCATATATTATTGACTTTAATGTTTTTGATAAACTATTCTCATTAAATGTTTATAAATCTTCCAGATAACTAATTTTAGCCTCATCTATGTCATCTAATTCTACAAATTTAGTATTGTAAGGTAATGAACTATCAAAATCTTCATTTTATTAATCTAAAAAAGCCATATTTTAGGTAATTTGGAATATAGAATTTTTCAAAGGTTTCTATTTAAGAAAATATATGTTTATTTTTGGAAATAAGACACTAAGAGAGTTGATTTGAGTCTATTATTTAGTTTGTTTTATATTCAAAATTAGATTAAATTTTTTCTTTTTTCCGATATCTGTTTTTAAATTTTCTAGATATATGTAATACTATTAAATTTCTATTTATTCTTGGAGAGATTTTTTCAGTATTTTTAATCGTTCTTCCATTAAAAATTTACAGAATTATATTTATTAGTTATTTTTTACTAATTCTTCAATTTATGTTTATTATACTTAAAAATTAATTTCGTGGTTATTTTATTATATATTTAGGTCATTTTATTATATATTTAGGTCATTTTATTATATATTTAGGTCATTTTATTATATATTAAGGTTATTTTATATATTTAGGCCATTTTTTTATATATTTTGGTTATTTTTTTATATATTTTGGTTATTTTTTTATATATTAAGGCCATTTTTTTATAAATTTTAGTCATTTTTTATATATTTAGATCATTTTTTTATATATTTAGGTCATTTTTTTATATATTTTGGTCATTTTTTTATATATTTTGGTCATTTTTTTATATATTTTGGTCTTTTTTTATATATTTTGGTCATTTTTTTATATATTTTAGTCTTTTTTTTATATATATTGATCATTTATTAAATTATTTTCATTTATATTCTATTAATTTCCATCTTATTTTTATAAATATTGATTTATTTTTTATTATTCTTATATTTTATGTAAAAACTATTATTATTGTTATTATTCTTATTCCAATTATTTTTTCGAATTTCTTTTATTTTGTTATAAAGATTCTTTTATTGATTATTTTTCTCTTCTATTTATTTGTTTAATTATTCTTTAAATGCTTATTTATAAGCTTTTTCTTTTTGTTTTTATTCTTATTCAGTTTCCTCTTTATAGAATTTCTCAAAGAAACAATAATTATTATTATATTATATATCAAAATTAGTATTTACTTAATTTCTTTAGTTATTTTTTTAATAATTTTTGTAATTTTCTATTTAATTTTATTCCCAATTGTTTAATTATTTTATAACTATATATCTTTTACACCAAATCTTTCAAAAAAAAAAATTCCTTAATTATCAATTGGTATTGAAAATTTTATTTACTATAAGGTTTATAATTATCTTTTATATTATATAATTCTTATTATTATTCTTTTATATTACTATTAAAATCTCTTGTGTATTATTTTATATCGTCTGGTTATTTGTTAATATAGTTATTTTTGCTAAAAAAAATTGGGTTTTTTATTAACGAAATAGTAATTCAGGATTAAAATTTGACATTTTTATATTTTCGGGTTGATATAATAAAAAAAATCGTATATATATTTTTTTTAACTAATATTAAAAATTAATATTGGTTATTTTATTTTATTTTATTTTATTAGGAAAAAAAAATTTATTTAATATTTTATCATAAAATACTAAAAAAATAAATTTAATCCATATATATATATAAATATATAAAAAAATAAATATTATATATATATATATATATATATTTATTTAAATAATTTAAATAATTTATATAATTTATTTAATTTATAAAATCTATAAAATTTATTTTTATTTATATAATTTATATATTGATTTAAATACATTATAATTTTAACTTATATTTTATTATTTTTTTTTTTTTTTAAATTATAAAAAAAATTACTTTTTACATTTTTTTTATTATATTTATATTTTATTAAAAATTAAAAAAATCAATATATTTTTATTTTATATTAATAAAAATTTATTATAATACATATATACATATTTAATGGAATATTCTTATCATAATTCTATGGTATTAGAATTAAATCCTTTAATGCCTAAGGACGCCTATTATTATTTTCCATAATGTAAATATTTAAAAATGAAACATTTGCCTTAAAATATATAAAAAAAAAGAAAACGAAATAAAATTTGGAATATAATAAAAAACAGTAAGAAGAATTTTCGAAGGACAAATAAAATTTGATGAAGACGAAAAAGAATAAATAAATTAAATGAAAAAATATATAGAAAGATAAAATTTTACCTTAACTGAATAGTAAAAATATAAATAAATAAAAAAATATGTAAAACACTATATTTAGTTGGCAAGATTAATGTATATTAAGGTTTTTATATGCTAATAATTTTAAATTGGATAAAACTTTTTAAACAATAAAATAACACTAAGAGTGGAGAGAAAAGACAATTCCGATTGAATATAATGAAGCTATAGAACGATAACTTGTAAAAAAAAAAATAAAAAAAAAAAACATAATTTCTAAAATAAAAGTTTAATAAAAAAAGTCAAGTGGAGCATTTTAATTACATGGAAGAGACAATCGATTTCGTCCAATTCTTATCATAGATGCGTCGAAAATAGATATTAAAGTTGTTAAATATATATATATATATATAAATATATATATATATATATATATATATATTTATATATATATATATATATATTCAAACATTTATTTACAGTCTAATATTGAGGAATTATTATAATCTATAACTTATTTTTTTGAATTTATCATTAAATTTTTGATGTTGCCAGGTTAAGTAGAAAACTGGATAGTCATTTTAGATTTAAATAATATAGGTATAGCTTCTTTACCTATTTCAACTTTAAAAAGACTAATGCAATATTTATCAAACAATTATAGGAGTAGAATGTATGCTACATATGTTGTTAACACTCCTTCTTCTATATTTATACCATGGAACATAATTAAAAGTTTTTTGACTGAAAATACTATAAATAAAATAAGCTTTTTTTAAAATCAGAGACCAGATAAAATTTTTACACATGCACACCCTTCTTAAGTAAAGTAAAAATATGGAGGGACAGCTTTAAATTAATAAAATATTTGGTAATTTTAGTTTTTTTCTTTTAGAAAAAAATTAATATACAGATATTATTATTTATATATATATATATAAAATAAAAAAAAGGCCTCCTTAAGAAATCAGTCCTATATATTTTCTAGAAAATGATAATCCAAATAAAATTTTAATTAGCTAGAAGTAATATTATGATATGTGGGAATAGGGACTTTTGTAAAAAAATGTAGTTTGCTAGAATTATTTAAGAGATAGACATTTAAAAATACATTCAGAAAAAGTACAATAAGTAAAATTAATTGATTAATCAGTACAAATGCAATAAGTAAATTTTAACAAGAGTATTAATTTGCCGCTTTTTAAAGATGAAAATAGATAATTTTAAAAATAAATATAAAATAATGTTTAATAGTAAGATGAAATTGATAAATTATAAAAATTAACATTTAATAATATTTGTTCAGAAAAAAATAGTATAGTTGTTTCTACTCATAATAATATAATAAGTTAGGAAAATTATGATATTATACCTTAAGAAAATTCAGTTTAAAAAAGAATAGTAGAATATAAAATGAGTAAATATTTTTGTTTTTAAAATATTTATAAGTTATTAATAATATAAATATATAAAAAGGATGTAATTAAAGGAAAAACAAAAGTGTAATGGGATATTTAAACAATATATTTAATTGAAAAAAAAAATATAAAATATATTCAATTTATATAGAAATTATTTAATATAAAAAAAAGATTAAATATTTAATAATATATTTTATTTTTTTTAAAATATATAAATATTTTAAAAGTTCTTTAATTATATAAAAAATAAATTTTTAATATATTTTTGTTTAAATTATTTTACAACTATAAAAATATTATTATATTTTATTAAAATTTTTGTAAGAATAAAACAATTTATTAATTTAATATTTATTTTTTTAAAAAATACAATTTATTATATATATATGCATAATTTTAATAGCGATAATTTAAATAATTCTTATAATGATATGGATGCATAAATTATTTAAAATAAATAAATAGCTTAAAATAAATAAATTCATAATCCTAATTAAAATTTTGTAAATCCTTCAGAGTCTAAAATAGAGAAACTATTATTAATTATAACTGTAATAAAAAAATAAATATTTAAAAAAATAATATAATAATCACAAAAAGTGGATTAGTATATTCAATTGTGTAATGAAAATGGATTATAATTGCGCATTATACTTATTTATGTATTATTTATGGATAACAAGATATAATAGCTAACATTATAAAATTGTAAAAAAACATAATTGTATTATTTAAATAAAAAAGTTTTTAATTTCAAATATTATTTTTATTTTATTTGATATTTTATGGTATTTAATGAATATGAATTCATGGTTTAACACAAAATAAATAATATGGAACAACTTTGAAGGATATCATATATTTACACTAATTATATGTAGTATAATAATAATAATTAAGGTATTTAAATAAAAATATAATTAGTTATATAAAAAAATATAAATATAATTATATATTTATAAATATTATTAAAATATATATATATTTATATATATTATTTTATAATTAATAAAAGATTATTTTAGCGTTTTATTAATATAATGTTTACAAAGAAACAGCTCCTCCAGGATATTAATAACATTGAATATATAAATTATATTTATATATATATTTAATATAATATATTTAGTATATTTTGATAAAAAAATTTAAATTTAAATAAATGAAAATTTATATATATAAATAAAAATAATAATTATTATATTTTTTTATTTTTTTTTTAATTTTAATAATAATATAGATTACAATTTGTTATTGTAATTTTATATTATTCATTTTTTTTCATTTGAAAATAGACATAAATAAATACCTATAATTATAAAAGATATTCCTAATTATTTTTTTAGATTTATTTTTTATTTTTTTATAATAGATTCAGTAATTAAAGTTATCACAGTACATAAACTATTACTCAAAGTAGAAGCAACAGTTAATCTTGCTTTTCCAAGTAAAAAATTATATAAAATAGAAGCCAATTGGTTTATAATAAAAGGCAATAAAAATGCAATCTTGCTAAATAATTATATAAAGAATTTAAATGAAATATCAAATTAATCTAATTTAGTTTATTTCGAGCCTTATTCTATGAAAGGATTAGTTATTCCCCATAAAAATCCTACTAATATTAATCCTCCATATACAAATAAATCGTCCATATATTTTATTTATTTTTTTAAAATAGATAAGTATTTTTTAATTAAATTATTTAAAATTTAAAATAAATAAATTTAGTTTTATTTATAATTTAATAAAATACAAAAAAGAGTTTGAATATAATAAAAAAGAAAAATTTTTTAAAAAAATGTCTCCTATATAATTAAATTAAAATCTTAAATAAAAATAAAATGTATAAAAAATAAAAATACTAAAAACCTAATCTTTAATATAAAAAATAATTTATATAATTATTAACTTAATTACTTTTTTTTAATTATTACTTTAAATAATAATACAAATATATTCATAAAAGCCTTCTTTATATCATAAATAGATCATAAAAGAATGGTAATAAAGCCCCATTTCTGACATAAATATAAATAAAAATATCTGTAAAGAATATTTAATAAATTTTAGATTTTAAGGCACTTTTTAAGGCTGTGATTGTACAACATCTCATAATGTAGACCTTTAGAACAAAATATACCAAAATAAATGTACTGATATACTTTTAGACTAAAAATGTTAAACTAAACTTCCTTTGTAAGCTAAAAATTTAACTCATTGGTATTTAGATGGAGAAATTCTTCAATTTTGTATTGAGAAAATGACTAATTATAATTATTTGAGTTCTAATTGCACCACTATAAATACTAAGAAGTGTAAAATCGGTTAAAAAAATAATAAATATACCTATTGTGTGCCTTAAAATACTAAATGTCCTATAAATAAATTATATTACGGTGAGAACAGGCCTCTAAAAAACGAGAATTTAATAGTTTAAATAAAAGATAAGTTCCTAGTATATTCTCGTGAAGAAAAAGATGGTTTTCCTTTTTTTTTGGGAATAGTTTCAGAAGGAGGAAAAGTTTGTAAATTTTACGAGTAAGAAAGGAACATGTCTTTCGGAAGAAATCAATATTTTTTAAACAAAGAGAAATTTTTAGTCTGTAATAAGTAAAATTATTTACCTAAAAATTAAATCTAAAATAGTTTGCCTTATTTAAATGAAAAACAGTTTTTTTAAATAAATGCAATATAAAATTATGGATAATAAGACTATTTTTATAACATATATTTAAAAAATTATGTACTATGGAATTAATATGGGAAATGTAGAACTATTTTATTCGATGAATTTATATATATGTTTGAATTTTTTGATGAAATAGGTTTATATTTGGCTTTTTCGATAGTTATTAATGTCTATATATTTTTCTTTTTTGGTTTATTTTTGCCTTTTTTGACTGTATTTTATTTCAATAAAAAATGCGTCTTTTTTTTCAATATAGTGTTTATTATTTTAATAAGTTCTAGAATTTGTATTAATATTATAATGTTTTTGAAAATTTATTATAAGAAAGATATATATGAGGAAATGGGAAAAAGTCAATGTTGTTCAGAGAGTGAAATAAATATATATTTGGAAGATTTTTATTAAAATTTTATTAAATTTTGGTTAAATCTTTCATTTTATATTATTATTATGGAAGGCTTTTTTTTGTTTTTTATATTATTTTTTTTCAATAAGATTTTCATAGAAGGTATATGGAATCAGTAAAAAAAAAAATTAAATGAAAAAAATGGAAATTTTAGCGAATTATGCAACGAAAAACAAATATTAATTGAAGAATTTTAACTTTTAAACAAAGAAATTTTTTCTTTAATTTTAAAAAAGGAAAACCTAAAAGAAAAACTTATTTTTATTAAAAAAATTAATTTAAAATAACACGAAAAATAATTGAAGATACAAATATGTTTAAATTGTCTAATTAAAATAAAAACTTTTAATAAATATTATCCAATAAAATACCATTTAATTATTTATAAAAATTAATGGAAATGTATATGAATAAAAAACATATTTAGAAAAATAAAATTATTTTATTGTAGTTTTGTGATTAAATAGAAAACTTAAATAATGAGGAAAAATATGTTTTTAATGAAATCTAAATATGTTAAACGTAAATAAAAAATAAATAAATAAAATATGAAAAATTATATCATGAAAATTCATTTTTGTAAGAAAAAAAAAAAGAAAACTAAGAAATTTTAAATAATTGTAAATAAATAATATATTAATATATATATAATAATAATTTTTAATAAAAAAATAAAAAAAATACTAAAGAATTATAATAAAAAGAATTACATATTAATGATAATCCAATATTATTTAAAAAAAAATTAGATGAAACTTATTAATATGACTATATGTATATATAATAGAAATTATTAAGTACAATAAAAAATATTACTAGAATAAAATTAAAATGAAATTATTAATAAAATGCTATTATTATTATTATTATTATTATTATATTTATATTTTCCATTTTTTTTAAAAAAATACTAATCATTTACAAAGTATACATTTTAATTATGAATATTTTAAAACATGAAATTAAGCATAACAAATATTGCATATATTATGAGAACAATCTTAGATTTTTCTAATTAGTGAATCTTCTTATAAATTCAATTAAATATTTTCGAATTAATTTAAACAAAATCCAAATACTTATAATAAACAAATACATATTTTACTTTATTCTTATAATATAAAACCACAAATTTCACATATAAATTCACAAACAGTTTCATCTTAATATTTCTTCTTACATTTTAAACATTAAGAATACTTACATTTTTTACAAATTACTGTAAATTTAATCATTTAAAATTCTTCAAAACATATTTAACAAAAACAAAAACATTCATTTATATTTTTATTATGAGAAATACATATATCTTATATTATTTATTTTATAAATAAATATATCTATATATATACATAAATAATATTTATATATTATTTTTACTTTTATTGCATTTATAACATAAATAAAATTATGTTTAGGATTTTATTATTTGCATATTTTAACAATATAAACATTAAATTTATATACTTAATTATTAATTATTTTTAATATTTAAAGCTATTTATTCTTCTTCTTTTATCTTTTCTTTGCTTAATATATTATTTAATTATTCCTATATTTATAACATATCTACTATATATTTAAAGACTTTTAAAAAACATTATTTTTATTATTTATTACTTCTAGAAAAATAATTAGCACAAATTCTATGCAAATACTCTTCATTTTAGATAAAATTTTCTTTATAATATATACTGTCAAAAACTTAGCAAAGATAAATTGATTCTTTTTATTATATTATAATTTTCAATTATAAAAAAAAATTTACTTTTATCATAAATAATATAACATTGTAAAAAAATACAAGTTTAAAATTTATTATTGTATTTCTAAATGCAAAAACCACAAAAACAATGCCCACAATTTAAAAAATGGAAATCTTTTGTGTTTTATTAACAAAAGTCACAATATTAAACATAATTTATCTAATTAAATTAATACAAAGATTAAAATAAATAAATAAATATTAAATTATATATTATATATATTATATATATATTTTTATATAAATTTATATATATTTATATATATTTATATGAATTTTTTAATATTTATATTTATTTTTATACATATTTATAAATGTATTTTTTTAATATATATTCATCTTTATTTTTATTATTACTTTCTTTTTCTTATTTCAATTCACAACTACTTTTATTCTTTTATAAATTTTTTGCAATTTAAATTTTGTTTTAATTTTATACAAATATATTTTTATTATTTTTTTAGAAAATAAACACAACTAAGTTTATTTACGATTTTTTATTTTTATTTATACAATGTCGTATTTTTCTTTATTTTTGTTATATTCTATTTTCATTATATTTATTTCAAAAAAATCGACTAACATTTAAATCATATTATTATTTACTATTTATTCGTTATTTTGTGTGTTTAAATTTTGACTCAAAGAGTAATTATATATTACATTTTGGCGTAGTTTTTCCAACAAAAACCTCTAATAAATAATTCTCCTCTTATTATTTATTATTTGTTAGATAAAAATTATTTATACGCAATATATTTTCCATTTCTATCATTTATTTTTATTATATTTTAAAGCTTTACTGAAAATCTTTCTATGTTGTTTGTTGATATTATTATAAATTATTATTTATATCCTTCCTATATTTATTAAATTAATTTTCATGACTTTATAAAGCCTTTTATATTATTTTTAGACATTTCGAATTATTATAAACTATTAATTATTCAAAAATTCCTAAAAAAAGATTACCTAATTAAAGATCTGTAAAAATTCTAAAATATGATGTTTTTTCTTAAAAAAACTAATAAATTTATTCTATTCCTTAAACTTAATTTAATTGGATTAATTTAATAATTTATTCTGAATTTTTTTCATATTAATAAATTTACATATTTTTTTTTTAAAAAAAAAAAAAAAAAGGAATTAATATTTTATATATTATTAATTTTTTTTTTTATTTTTAAAATATTTCTTATATAAATTATATATATAAAAAAAAAAAAAAAAATATTTTCAATAATTAGTTCCTTCAGCAGGTTAAGAAAGTTTTTTATTTGCATTCATTTCATTTTTTAATCCAATTAAAACACTTTCAATAGTATTTGTAACTTTCCAATTTTTCAAAGGCGCAAATTTAGATATTTCAATCTTTTTTTTAAAAAAAAAATAAAATAACAAAAATAATAATAAATATAATAATATTAATATATATATATATTTACTTAACCATTAGATTAATTAACACAAGGAAGATTTATTTTACTTAAAAATTTTACTTAAGGAGGTTAATTAGGATAATTAGGTCCACATACAATTTTAAGTGAATATATTCTTCCTTCAAACGAAGTCTATTTTATATATATATATTATTTTATTTTATAAATTGCATCTTTTTCTTTTTTTTTCTTTTTTTTTCTTTTTTTTACATTATATGGACCTAATATAGTACCATTCCAATTAGTAAATGTCATATCTTCGGCTATTTTTTAAAATATTTGCTATAAAAACAGGTTATATTTACCATTATCTAAACCATAAGATACTGTTTAATCACCTATTCCTTTTTCACCACGTTCTAATTCTTCTAATAGTCTAAATCTTCTTGGTACAACTTATAAATTTTATTTTTTTGGTATAAATAATATGTGATTTTTTATTCATTATTTATAAATAAAACTACCTGCATTATCTTTATAATATTTTCATTTTTTTAAAAAAATTATTTCATAAATTTATATTATTATATATGTTTTAAAATATTACCCATTTATTATAAGTTTCTTTTTGTATTTTTATATTTATTAAATAAAAAAAAAAAAAAAATTGTAATATATAAATATATATATTTAAATATATATAAAAATTAACATATATTTTAATTTTTAATGTACAATCATAAAAAAATTAGATTAATTTTTTTCAATTATATATCTATAATAATATATATATATATAAAAATTTATAAACTTTTATTATAAATTATTTTTCTTATCAACTGCTCTCAACAATATATTTCCTTTATTTATTATTATTTATTTCTTTTTCTTCTTTATCTTCTTTAATAATATCTTTTTAATTATTTTCTAAAAAAAAAATAACAAAATAAAAAAATATAAACTAAAAAAAAAAAGAAAAAAGAAAAAAAAAAAAAAGAAAAAGAAAAAGAACAAAAAAAAAAAAAAAAACTTATAATATTTTCAATAGATTTATATTTTTCTATCTACCCTATTGTATAATGCTTTTGATCTGTTTCCTAATCCCCATTAATAATCGGGTCACTAGAAATTAAAGTGTTCGCCTCATCATCCATAATCATTATATTCTTAATCTAATCCTTCTAAATATATGGAATCCTTAAAGGCTTTATAAACATTGATTAATATTTTTCCCTTAATTAAGGGATTTAATCATAGTCTGTATTTTCATTTTAATTTAAATTAGCATCTATAGAAAACCTTTTTAATTTATTTTTATTGTTAAAAAATGGATGTCTTAAAGCATCAAAACACGAAATTCTTTAATTAGGATCTTTTTCTAACATACACATCATTATATCTTTGCAATTTTTAGATAAGTTTTCGTATTCTTTCTTATTCCAATTAATTTCACAATCTTTATTTTTTTTTAATACATTATTAAAATCTTTTCCGGGAAATACAGCTTCGCCTGTAATTCTATAATTTTTTTATTATTTTAAATAAAAAAATAATTAAAAATAATTAAAAATATATATATATATATATATATATATATATATTTTATATTTATATTTATATTGATATTGATATAATTTTTATTTCTTACAATATATGAAATATCACTCCTATAGAAAATACATCACAAACTAAAGAATAGCCTTATGTTTTATCTACCAAATTAGCTATTTCAGGAGCAACGAAACCAGGAGTTCCGCATTTTGGGAAAATATAAGGAATATCATTAGCATATGAGGCAAGTCCAAAATCTATTATTTTAATTATTGGTTTTTTATTTTAGGAATAAGAAAATAATATATTTTCAGGTTTAATATCTCTATGCATTATTTATTTAGATGAACAATAATAAATTCCTTGTAATACCATTTAAATTATATTTTATACTTCATCTTCTGTAAAAGGACTATTTGATCTTTTTTTTATTTCGTCTTATAAGGAATTTCCTTCTAAAATTTCCATTACGAAATAAAAATTATTTTACCCTTCAAAAACTTCAAATAATTTAATTACATTTTCATTATCAATTAAATCTCTCATTATTTTTAATTCATTATATAAAGAAAGCTAAAATATTTATTTTAAATATATAAAAATAAGTAAATTTTTGAATATTTTAATATATAAATATAAATATATATTTATAAATTTATACATATAAATATTACATATTTTTATAATTTACCATTCCTTTATCAATTTCAAATAATTTTTATTTTTCAAAACATTTTACAGCATATTTTATTCCAGTTTCTTTATGTACAGCTGCATATACTTTAGCATAATTTCCTTTTCCGATATAAGATATCACATCATATTCGTCTTAAAATCGTGCTTGGAATATTTATTAATTTAATAATGATTTCATTTTTAATAATTAGATATCTTCACAATAATATTCATATACTTTATCATCACTTAATAAATGAAATCCTATAAGTTTTTATTATTATTTTTTTTTATTAAAATTCCATACAATTCTTACATTTGGTTTTAATTCTATAATTTTACAAGGTATTTATTGAAACGGTTCCTTTAATATTGTTATGTTTTAAAATATAAAATTTATATTACTTTGCATATTAAAAAAAATTCATTCAAAATATAAGCATATCTAATTTTTTAATTACTTTGTTTTATTATTTTGCATTATATTTAGCATTAGCTATAATCTAATCTTCCGTTTATTATATATTTATTTATTTCTACAGAACTACGAAAAAAATTTCATTTTATATTTCATATGCTGTATAAATACTTTTTTCTTAAGGCTTTATAATAGAATTATATTAATTAGTTTTAAGACTTATATATTTATATTTTAATATATATTTAAAAATTAAGATTATATTTTTACGTTTATATTTTCTTAGCTTAACTTATTTTAAAAGATGCTCTATAATTATGGAGCTAATTTTATTCTTATTAAGATTATTAAGATTAGTAATTTTATTATTACAACTATAATTCCTAAATTTATTATTACAAATTTTATTATTATATTTATTATTATAAAAAATTTCTTAAACTTTTTATTATAAAATTAAATCGTAATTGTTTTATTATTAAGTTTATATATTATAACTTTATTATTATTATTATTATTATTATTATTATTATTATTATTATTAATTTTATTTACATTTTTATTAATTTTCTATATAATTTTATTCTGTTAATGTTTATTTATTATTCATACTTTAAATTTCATTAGATTTTTCAACAGATTAATTTTTTATTCAATTTGTTTTAATTTTCTTTATTTATGAAATATATGATTACTATCTATATATATTCCGTTAACTTTAGATTATTTTGATAGTTGTTTTAATATTTAAGAATTTGCTTTTATATTGTTTTTTAATATATATTCTTTATATATATTTACTGTTATTTTCATAAATTGTATTATATTAAATATCACATAGTTTCTATCTATTATTATTTTTTGTTTTATTAAATATTTACTTTTAAAATTATTTATACATTAACTATTCTTATGTATGATTTTGCAATTTATTTAATATTAAAGATCGTCTCATTTAATATATATTCTAAAATATTTTATTTTTAATTATTTGTTATTTTTTTAATATTTTTATTAATTTTTTTATAATGATTTAATTTTTAATTATAACCATACATTATATATATATTAAATATTGATATTATTTTATTAAAAACAAAATGTAATTTTAATTTAATATTTGATTTTTTTCTATAAAGATAAATAAAATATATTATTATTTTAAATATTCAAAGATTGTAAGTAAAATATTAAGATAATGAAGGATTATATATATATTTAAAGAATAATAAGAATTTTTTAAAAAAATAATTTTAAATTTATATGTATAATTTATTTATAAAAAAAATATTATTTAAAAAAAATAAAATTAAAATTTAAAAAATGAATAATTTATATATATATATATATAAATATATATAGAATCATAATTAAAAATTTAATAGTTATCTATAGAAAAAAAAATTATTTTTAATATTTTTATAAAAAGAATGAGAAAAATAAGAAGAAAATAAATAATATGAAATGTAAAATAATATAATAAATTATAATTATAAAAAATATATTTATATAAAATAAGAAATGAAAATTTATAAACATATATAATGTATATAAATAAAAATAATTATTATTATTTTTATATAAAAAAAATAAGAATAATAAATTAAAATAAATATTAAATAAATTCAATATAAAAAATTACCATTATATAAATAAATAAAGATATATTTAAAAAATGATTTAATATATATATATATATATATATATATTATTTATTTAAATATATATAAATATATATTTTTATTAATACATATATATATTCATATATGCATTTATATATATTTTAATTAAAATTTTAATTATGCTTTTTAAAATATTATATTATTTTTATCTAATTTAAAGATTATTATTATTATCATTTTATTTTTTTTATTTAATCTTCTTTTTACATCATATTTTATATAGAAATAGATTTCCCAATTGGAAACCATGATATATTTTAAGTATCCAAGTTATTTCTTATAAAATATTCTGTCCCATCTAAATCATTTATCTCTTTTTATTTTATCATTATAATAAATGCCAAATAATTCCATAAATGATGCTCTTTTTCGATATGTTTTTAAAAATTTATTCCCAAATTGTAAAAATCAGCTCTATCTTAATTACAAATAAAACATTTATTTTTTGAATCATTATCTAAAATTTATATATATATATATAAATATATTTTTATATGTTTTTATTTCATTTACATTTTTTTTTTTTTATAAAATTTACCTTTAAAATATTTAATATCTCTTAATTCTGCAAAAGTATCAATAATAATACCAAATATTATATTTAGCCAAATAACAATAATTACTAAAAAAAAGCTTAACTCAAAAATAAATCTTCCATAATATTAATTTTAACCAGGATAAACTTAATCAAATGATTCACCTATTCCACCACCATTTCTTAAACCTAAATTCAAAAAAAGTAAAAAGCAATCAAGTTTATTTCCACATACTTATAAATTATTATTATTTCCATTAAATTAAAACGAATTTTTTAGATCATTAGAAAAATAAGCAGATATAGAATATATATAAACTATTATCATTCCTAATACAGCAGTCATTAGTAAAGACACTGAATTTAAAGTTATTGCCTTTATAACATTTCTTAATACAACCTTTTTTTTATAAATATTTAAATAATTTTTTTTTTTGATTTACTGATCTTTCAATAATATCTAATAATGTAAGACTATAAAATAAAGGATTAATATAAAATCCAAGAAAACTTAAAATAATAAAAATAGTTAAATATAAAAGTTGACTTTCTATAAATAATAAATCTATTGCCATATAAAATATTTTCTTAATAAAATTTCTTAACTAATTATTTATATTTTTTTTTTAATTTTTTAATATTTTTCTTTACAATGTAAATTTATTTCTGTGTGTCTAATTTTTATTTCATTTTATTAATTTCTAATGAATATCTATTTGTAAAATTTAAACTTTACGAATATTTATTAATTGTATTTTTATATTCTAAAGGAAACTAAAATATAATCCATATAATAAAAATAATGAGAACTGTTATTAATTAAATTATCTCTAAAACTTATATTAGTAATAAATACTATTAATTCAAATTAGTATTATTATCTTTTACCATATCTAAAAGAATAAACCTTAGAAAATTAATTAAAAAAATAATATAAATATATATATTTAACAAATTAATAATGAAGACAATAAATAAATTAAAATTTCTTAATCTAGAAAGATAAGTTAAATTAAAAAATAATCCTTTAGAATTTAATAACAAAAAATATCTAATTTCATCCAAAAAAAAGTTTTCTTATTAAAGAAATCCTTAAATTTTTTAATTGGCTGTTTCTCTATCACAAAAATCAAGAAACTTTTCTCTTGTTATTTAGGATAAATATTTCATTAATTTTGGTTTTCGGAAATATATTTTTTATAGATTTCCTTTCTAGTTTATTATTTCTATAGATATAGTTCTTTATTTATAAAAAATTAACGAGTTTTTTATATTTTTATCGTTTTTTTCATTACTTTTATTCTTTATTTTTTTTTAAAAAATATAATTATTTTATTTTTTATATATATATTTTACTATTTTTATCATTATATTTTTATAATTCTTCCTAAAATTATTATCTAAATATTTCAAGTTTTTAAATAAAATGAAACAACTGAATCCTTCGTTTATATGTAAATTGCTATTTATATAATTAATTAAGTTTTTTTGATAACTTTAAAGCCCAAAGTCATTTGCTTTTTTTAACTTTTTATTTTAATTTTATTTTTAATAGTCAGAATCATAATCTTCATTTAAAATTTCCAAATTTTTTTCGTCTTATTTATATTTTAAAAACTTCCTCAGTCCTAAATGCTTATTTTCTATTGTTTTAATGCAAAAAAATGAATAATATAAATATATATATATATATATATATATATATATATATATATTTATGTTTATATATATTTATATATTTACTTATTTTTTTATAAATTTATTTATAATTAAAGTAAGCATTTTGCATCTTTTTAATATATTAATATTAATCTATTTAAGATGACAATTTTTAAATAATTTCTACTTCTTCACTACCATCAAATAAACTTTTTATAAAAAGAATTATTTTTAAGGAAAACTATGAATTTATCTAATTATTTTTCTTTTATTTGAATTTAAATCTTTTACTTTTTCCATTAAACTCTGCTATAATATCTTCTAAATTCTCCAATATTTTTGAATGGCATAAAACTTTTTAATTCTCAATACAAGGCCCCTACGTTAATTCTATTAAAGTATTTAAAATTTAAAGCCCCAATTTAAAATTATTTTAATTCATAATCTTATAATATTTTTAGAATATATCACTCAAGAAAATAACAATATTAATCGAATTTGATTTTACTTAATCATTAATATCAGTCTGTACCCTTAAATAATTCTACATTAATAAAAAATGATTCTCGCAAGATAGTCTTATACATTCAATAGTATATATAAGATTTTCTTATATTTATTATATAATCTATTATATATATATATATATATAAAATGAATTTATTTTTATTTACAAATATTTATATATATATAATTTAATTACATTATTATAATTAAAATATTCTTCATTTTATTTATCTGATATATATTCATCATTATTTTTGATATAATTTTTAAATTAATTGAAATTATCTTTTATAAAACAATGAATCGTGCGTATAAATTAATTTTAATTATCATTTTGCAGATATCTTTTTAATTTATGTAATATATCATTGTTTGCTTTTTTCATAAAATTATTATATCCTAAAATATATTCCAATTTCATTTTAGGATCATCTTCATGGACAATTAAATCACATAAAAAGTTCAAATATCCAACATCACTTAAATCTGTTTAAATAATATTACTTATAGATTCATTTCTTTTATAATTTGATATTTTTCTTAACATTTACATTGCAAGCATTCTTATTGTGACTTAATTTTCCCTTTTTCCTGTTTACTAAGCCAAAACTTCAATGTAACTTAATAAAATTTATTTAAATTATTCAGGTTATTTTTGTTAAGTAGACATAAGTATTTATATATATTCTTTTATTTCTATATCATGTTCTCTTTGTATAAATTTTTTATTAAAATATTAAAAGTTATTTTTCTTTTCTAATTTAATTATTATATTTCTATTATTTTATTTCTCAATAAATGTTTATGAAAAAAGTTAAATTTCTAAATTTTCTAATAATTTAATAAGGCTATTATTTTTTATTTGTAATTATTATATTTCATTTTTATCTGTTATTTTTATCTAAAAAAATACTTATTTGTTTAATTATTGTTTATTTTATTGAATATTTAATATAGTAGATTATCTATATGTAAGATTATTTTATTCTAATTTCTATAATTTTTAAAAAAAGTATAAAATATTTATATATATATATATATATATATTTATATATATATATATATAAATATATATATATATATATATACATATATACATATATACATATATACATATATACATATATACATATATACATATATACATATATACATATATACATATATACATATATACATATATACATATATACATATATACATATATACATATATTCATATATACATATATACATATATACATATATACATATATACATATATACATATATACATATATACATATATACATATATACATATATTTAAACTTACTATAGTTGTTTTTTTTTGTTAATCATTTATATTATAAATTTAACATATTTCTTCTTTAATTTAATTGTATTGATATAATAAATCATGATTAATTTTATTCCAATATTCTTATTAATCATTTAAAATATTAATTAATTATAAAAATCTTTTATTTTTAATTAAAATACAAAATATTTATTTTTATTACATATCTATAATTTTTCGATCATTATCTATGGGTTCTGGAGGTATCTTTAATTTATAAATATATATATATATATATATATATATATATATATATATATATATATATATATATATATATATATATATATATATATATATATTATCGAAATAAATTAATATTTATACTTTATTTATAAATTCTTTAATCATTGGAATAATTCCATTTAATATATAAAGTTTAAACGACTAATATAAATTAATTTGAACTAAATACTCATCTGAATAAAACTAATCTTCTTTGAAGATATTTTTAAATTCCGAAAATAGGTAATTCTCTTAATATTTATCAACTTCACTTTAAACTTTATTAATCTCAATAAAAGTAATCAGTTCCTTTTACAAAAATCTCAAAATTTAACAAACTTCTTCATAATCTTAAGATTCTATTTATTTTTAATTGATATAAGTAGCTAATAGAAATTAAAGAAATTCATACTTAAGAGGGTATAAATATTCTGCAAAAATTAAATTTTCATGAATTTATTTAATAGAAAACAATCCTCTAACAAAAGTATAAATTTACTAAGAAGCATTTTTAGCCATTAATTTGAAAGTTCTTAAAAGGCAGATCAATATGCAAGAATTATTGGGAAAGTCTATTTTTTTGATATCTTATTAAGTGATATTTTTATTTACATTAATCTCTTAATTTTAATTATTTTAATTTATTTATTCTTAATTTTGTTAAAAGTTAATTTTTTACAAAGAAATACACATATTTAAACTAGGTAAATTGTTTAATTCTTATTTTAAACTTTTTTAAATATTCTAACTGAATTCCGGATATCTCTATTGTATTTATGAAACTATATAATTCGCATTTTAAAGAATTATTTTATTATTAATAGTAAAAAAGTACTTTAACATATCCAAAAAATAAATAGAATAAGACTTATCTTCTGGTATTCTTTTTACTATTTATATCATTATTTCTTATAAAATAATTTTCATTTAAGATTTTGAAGATAAAAAACTCATTAATTATCCATAATTATTTTTCTATATTTATGATATGAGTACAAAAAATAATTATTAAACTTAAGAATCGGTAGATATTAAACTAAAAGTTAAGCTTTTTTCAGATTACTCTTCTTAGAATTTTTAACCTGTAAATTTTTTTGTTCTAACAAAATTTATTGATTTTATTCGTTTTTTATACAGAAAAATATTAATATGGGCATACATAACATAAGTATTTTTTTTTTTAATTTTTTATATCAGTTTCTTTAAATAAAAAGTCTAATAAAACTATTAACTTTTAGTGAAAATTCATATTAGCCATCATATTTTAGATTTAGTTTAAATTTTTTAAATCTATATAATATTCATCCGCTAAATTATAATAGTTTTTTTCAACATATTCTTTATTAAACTATATATTTAATTAATATAAAAATAATATTTTAATAAAATTAATTTTTAATTATAATTTTTAAATAATATTGATAAAATTATATGAAGTCTAAAATATATATAAAGTACTTTTTATATATTAGATGGTTTTTTAATTTAAGTATTATTTCTATTTTTATACATAGTATTATTTTAAAGTATATTAAAACCTTCATCATTTTAAATTAAATTACTAGTTTCCCAAACAGTATTAAATTTAAGTCTTTAAACA